TTGCGTGCAAAGAGCCTTCAAACACACTGAATCAAGGTCCCCAAGCACAGAGAAAATGACAGCTCTTGTCTCATTCAGACAACAGTTGTGGGCGAGATGTCTCAGTGCCGCATTACGAGCGTTTGCAGCTTTGAGATGTTTGGTGTGATCAAAAAATGTCTGGATTCTGAGGAGAGTTTTGCTTAAACACAATGATTATGGGATCAGTGTTCATGTTAATGCCTGCTGCCACCAGGCATGGCAGTGAGTTTTCAAAACAGCAACTGTCTGTGAATCCAAACCCCGCATGAGGCTCCAGGCAGCTGTGTGGAGCATTCCATTCAGGCTCATTCTCCGATTGTTTCTTCTGACGACAGAAGTTCAAATCCGCCCCTGATTCACGGCCCGTTTGATGTTTAATATTATTCATTACTATTTAGTGCATTTCCTTCATGACTTTGCTGATTACAGCCATATATTTAAGCAAACTGCCTCCAGATTTCCATTTCCAGCTCAGAACAGAATGAACCTCAGATTTGTCCAGATTCCAGTCGTAAAAAATCAACAGTAAAACGTTCAGTGGCTTCTAACAAAGGCATATAAAACCAGCTCTCTGATGGATAAAAAGACCCGTTATTGTAGATAGAGGGATCATGGCTGCTCTGTTTGCTGTTTCTTAATGTTTTGTGGGGTCACTGAAGCATGGAGAGCTCATACGTAGGCTACATGGCAGGAGGACTTCAGCTTTAACCAACACGGTTGATCCAGGGGGATGCGACGCCTGACATCTACAGTGTTATTAAATTTTCACACACTGCTGACCGCAATATCATCAAGAGCAAACACTCACTGCTGTGTACCCTTGGGTGTCTGTTTACTTGTGTGTGTGTGTGTGTGTGTGTGTGTGTGTGTGTGTGTGTGCACGGTTCTGTGTTGTGAGATACAGTCATAGTCCAGAGAAACTATTTCCCACTCCAATACTGGATGTGCTTTCCTGATTTATTGAACCCATTTACAAGGTTAACACAAAACCGACTCTTGGTCCTGGGAATGTTTAGTTTTTAAATTGTCTAAGCTCACCTTTAAAAGAGTATGTTATTGTACTTGAGTGAAAAATAAAATGCCAAAAAGGGGTGTACCTTACACAAGAACCTTCCTGTTACTTGAATACTTTGTAACTTTGTACTCTGTGAGCAAGCCACACATCAACCTGCCTTTCTCAGTATAATGTTGAGAATACCTGAACAAATGACTCAGCGGTTTTGGGAAGCAGCACTTGCTCCTCATAAGAATAAAAAAATCAGACCTTTGTTCTTATGACTTTAGAATAAGAATGAGTTTAGAAATATTCTTCTACCGCGGTGGAATGATGAAATGGACATTTGGTCTGTCTGCAGAAGCTTTAAATCCAAGTGAAACTAATTTCACCCTATTTTCACATGTGAAGTTTTTCTCTTACTCAAGTACTTCCAGCCTCCTCCAGGCACCGGCACATCATCTATTTAAGTTTTATTTTAGACTGAGATTTGTGTCTGCCTCAACTTGGCAAAATGTTGCAGGGAATAATTTGGGTGCAATGCAGACCAAAAGCTGCTAAAATCACAGTTTCTGTATCTATCATGATGAGAAGCTCAAAGCTCAGAGCCTGGTGTTTTCTGATGATGCGTACCATGAACACTGTGATGCTGAAGAAGACCGCTTGTGTAATGGATATTTTGTAGCTCCTGTGTCACTTAAGCTCTCGATATATGTCATTAAATGTGCCATTGTGTGCAGTCTCTCTTACTCCTGATCCAGTTGTTCTGTTGAAGCACAGCTTTGCATTACAAGGGGGAAAATAAACTTTTATGGTGAAGCTATGAGAATTAGTTGTTTGGCATTTGGTCTTTAGTTTGCCAATAGATATAAGCTAGATTTATGATCTAGCTTGGTGAAAGTAATGAGCTCGAGCATCGCAGCTCAGTCAGAAAATAATAGTCTTCCTGCACACTGCGCCCTGGTGTTGGTCAAAATGGATGAGGAGTTTTGTATCTTCTCTGTCCTTGGTTTTTTTCTGCATCCTACTGCACTATTTTAGGAACAGTATGAATGACGTCAATTAAAAAAAATGAAATCAAGAGTTTCAGAGATGGAGGGCTAAAATAAACGCATTTGCAGATTACTTTTTCACACGGCAACTGCTGATTAGACTTACGAGGTTGTAAACTGCGTAATCAGGTACCATCTTCAAGGTCGAAAAGCAAATTCTTGAGCCGTCTCCATTGTCCAACCACCGTTTCTATGAAAAAATATGGCATGTCTGAAAAGGAGATGGCCTTGCTAGCCCAGCAAAGGCAGGCTGTATTTTGAATGTCTTGGTGGACTTAGCTGTTCCATCACAACGATCAGAGGCTGTCCTTGAGAGGATGTGCACAACAGAGACAATGAATGAGAGGTCACAAATAGCTTGCAGAACTTCAGCAGATGTTATGCAGACACAATGTTTCATATACTTTAGTTTTACCACTCCTCTGTAGACTGTAGACTGCAGGTATAGGAACATACTGTACAATGCTTTTATTTTGTGCTCCAACGTGTTTAAGCTGCTGTAAATAACATCCATTTCTTCATAGCAGTTGACAGTTTGAAAGGCTTTATTAGTGGTTAACTGGTCTACGCAATCAATGGTTGAGTCAAATGGGGGATGATGGGAGACTGGGTTATTAACTCTATTTCATAGCAGCACACTCTGATGTCTGAGTTCAACATTGCTGTATGTTTAAAAACAGATTTTTCTGATTTGACAGGTCGACTTTGGATAAAGTAGAAGTACAATGTCGAAAATTCTCTGACTATGTGAAGAAAAGTATGAGCACTGAAGACTGGATGTATAATCACTGCTCAAAACAAGACTATTGTCTCATAATTCTAACTATAATCTTTAAGTAGCTGTTCAACTTCATCCAGTTGTTTTCACTTAAAAGTTGTTTAATTTTTTCTCACTCTGCAATGTAATGGAAAATATGTTGAATATTTTCTTTGAAATATAGTGAGCTTTCACGCATGAAGCTCATTCAATAGAAAGTAGAAACGTATTATTACCTCACACATGTCCTTGAGCACAGAGAAGTTAGTGAAAGCTTGAAGTTACTTTTCAGCCCTGCAGATACGTGAAGGCCTGATTATAATTGACCCTCATGTTGCTTTATTTAGCATGATATTCCTTTAGTATTGATTCCTGCCTACAGAAACATAACTCAGTGGGAGGCTGACAAGACGGCTGTGATGCCACCGTAGATACCACCAAGTGAGCGATAAACAGAGTATCATTCACATAGTGGCTTTGGAGACTAATTACGTTGTATGTGTCACCTTACAGCCCTTTGAGGGCCGTAAGCAGTGGTATGTGTTCAGAGCCTGAGGGCACAATCTCATTTTACATTCAGCTCCTTTTGTAACTCCCCATGGCGCTGGGAGCTTTCCATGGTTTTAACATCAAATGACATTTACAAAGCAACGGCACGGCTTATTTGTCCTCAGAATTGATACTCTAATATTTGCCATTGCTTTGTTTGATTTGTTGGCAAGATGTCCAAATACTGCAGGAGGTGTAGAGCCTTCTAGGTTGGGGTGATCTTTCAGTGATTGTGTCAGCCTGACAGAAAATATAAAATTCAAAATACTACTGAATACTGAGACATGGAAAAAAACAAAAACAAAGCTCATGATAGTAATCATTAATAAATACATGCCTGTAGTTTATGTAAATTGTGTTGTCTCAAAGGTTATGAAACTTCTCTCAGCTTGAAAGATAATCAGCTGACCATGAGGGACATCTAGTGGTAAATCATGAAACTTTCTGTCATTTCAAAGATGTAGATCCCACTTGTCACTTCTAATGTCAGAAATACATAAACTGTTTTGCACTGTGTATAATAATAGAAATGGAAATTAATCCTGTAAACCAAAGCATATTACTGCCTGGTTTACCTTGTTTAAGGCATTAAGTGGGACTAGAGCTACTTCTGCACGTCAATGATTCTTTCATTTTTTCAATCACTGCATGGCTAGCCTATACAGTTTCTTAGTTCTGTGAGATCGTGTAGGTACGTGCTGCTCGGTAGGAAAAGGCTGACTGTCCAAAGGAACTTTTCCTATTAGATATTTTACAGTCACCACTAGAAGTAGCTCTGGTAGTTACTAAAGAAGGTTATAACTTACAGGCTATCTTTCATGTAGTTTATCCCCTACACTTCACCTTAGTTAGTTCCATAAACACACGAGAGTGTGCGCAGTGGATGGTGTGATGTGCTGTGTGTGTTATCATTGTATTATGAGTAAGTTGCCTCCAGGGAGCGCCCGTCTCCAGTGTTCAGTCTATTGGTCTATTGTCCACCTTTTCTACCTGCCGGCAGCAAGCGTCAAGCCAGGCTGAAATTTCTAGGACAATACTTGAACAAGGCCTTCAAAATAAACGCATAAAAGAGAAACAAAGACTTCGAGAGTAAAAAATATTACATTAAATCTTCTGTTGAGTCATACGAAGTGAAACCGACAACCACGAATACATACAACGTTGTATTAAAGTAACTGAAATTATTGAAGGATGAAAGAAAATTCATTTTAAGGATGTCATTTAGCCTAAAACTACGGCTAACAGTAGTTTAGTGGTGGTAAAAGATTCACAGCAGTTGTAGATTGATTTCTTTTGGGCCAAAACACATTTAAAAAACTTAATCAAAACAGGTAGGCTACCAGTCAAGGCTTTAATGACACCTGAAGACGTTAAAAGGTCCACGTGTTCAGGTGTCACACTGGTAGGAATACTTTGTGTTTGGGTTTCCTCAAAAGGTTGCCACACATTGTAATGACACAAGACTTTTTAAATTTCGTTAATTAATCGTTAGGTTTACTTTGAAAGCAGCCAACCGGAAAAAAACGCTTTATTCTTTGACTCCGGCCAGCTTGACAGCTGTCCACCTTTCCCTACCTCCGCAGGCCTCCTCCCCCTCTCTGAACTAACCACCTACAACAAGTTTGACAGCTCAGCTTTTTTTGTGTTCACACGCAGAGCAGCGGCAGCAGCAGGCAGCTGGACTCCCCTCTTCTGGGCTTACTTTTATCTCTTCCCCTCAGTTTTATCGTTTTTTGTTGGCATGTGTGTGTCTCGCGTCTCCTGCTGGTTATGAGGAATTTCATGTTTCCGTAGATTTGGTCACTTTCCCCCTCTCTTGGACCTTTTTTTTGTTGTTGGCGTTGTTGTAGTTTATCGTTTTTAAATTATTTTGTCTTTGTCGGCGGTTGCGAGGGATCTAAGTTAAACATGTCGAGGAACACGGAGGAGGTGTACAAGCTAACTGAAACTACATACAAGGTGGGTGTGCAAACAACAGGTGAAACAGTTACAGCCACTGTAGCTCAACTATCCAGCGACTGTTTACCTGAAGAACATGCAACAGGTGTTTTTAATTAGCCTCAGTGTATATGAGGAGCCAAGCTAGCTGAATAAGGTTCACTAATTTTACAGGCAAACATGGAGTGAAGGGTAAACTCAACCTGGAATCAGTTTGTCTTCTTCTTTGGCTGATAATATAGCAGAATATTATGATAATATAGTAGGCTATGTATTAAAAATAAGTGTCAATATTGTAAAACAAGTTACTTTTAACATTTAAGTAGGATCTTAGGGTGCTCTTTGGGGATCCCTGGGCTGGGTTATTAGTATAACCTCTTCTTCATTTACCTCTTGATCAGTAAAATGCCCAGAGTACAGACAGACTGCAGTTTAATGCTGCAGTTTTACTTGGGATTCAGACTTCCTGTGAGCCAGTAACTGACTATTAATGAGTTTGGATCAGTGGTTTTGAAGAAAATTGCCCCACCCTAGGAGTGCCATTTCCTCATTAAAGAGCTGCCTTGGTTGATCAGCATCATTTGAATTGCTCTTTAGTGTAATCTGGCATCTGTGCCATCCAGTAATTAACTTGAATTTATCTTCTAAAGAAAAGAAAGCTCTCTGGGTGCTTTGAAAGTGAATTGCTGTTGGACAGTGGGGAAAGTGTCCTTCAGAACAACTTTAATAAATATTCACTTGCTCCATATTAAGAATTAAGGGCTTGTGTGTGAATGTGTCTTCATCGGCGTTAAAAGAGAAATTGAATCAATGAAAAATACAAAATATACCTAGTAAGAGTGAGCCACACTCCGATTCACCAAATAAATTACCACGCTGTATCGCCAGGTCTGCATGCTGCACTCCACAGGTGGCAAAGTGAAGGGGAGTATGTATGAAGAGGCTGGAGGGGAAGAGAGGAAACACATTTAGCTTTCTTGAACAACTTTTATCCACTGGCTTCCTCCTGGGACAGCCCCCACAGCTCCTTGATGTGATGAAATGCAGGAAAAAGACTCCAGGTTTAATAATTTAGCTGGCTGCATGTGTTGTGTGGTAAGATTATACAGCAAGGTAGCCATTACCTCTGGCTCCTGGGGGAGGATGGTGGTGACCCCAAACAACCGTTATTATATTGGCCTTTAAAAATTGGGAGAGGATCTCATGACACTTCCTGGCTTATGGTTGCTTAGACTCGGAGCTACTGACATCACTGTGGAATTTGTTTGTCTCACCTTATTATCGACGATTTAGAGGCCCGAATTAGAAGGAACAACCTGTGACTTTGAGGTTTCCCCGAAGGTTGCGAAGACAGGGACGCTCTTGAATTTCTGGAGAAATGCCGAAACTGACTGTCCAAAAGGGCTCGTCATTGAATGGGCACATCGATACTCTGGCTGTGCATCAAGTTGGCAGGCCAGCGAGGGATATCATTGCCATCAAGTTCCTGTGTTTTTGAGATGTCTGAGAGCCAACGCTCAGTGAGAGAGAAGCAGGATATCAGCAGAAGGAGCCATAAAATTGGGATTATTCCTGACTATACCAGAGCGGTGGAGATGCAGAGGCAAAAGTTTAGGTAATGCAAAACAAAGCTCCACAAGCGACGTGTGAAATTCACTCTGGTGTACCAGGCTACTCAAAAAAATCAAAGGATCAGATCAGTTTGACAAGGCTCTGCACAGTATCAGCAAGCTGTGACCACAAGTACTGCACCGCTTTCTGATAGACAGGCACTTCAACTAAGGATGGAGTCCAGGGACTTCCATCCCTGCATTTTTATCCACTGTCAACTCCTTTTCTAGATTCTCGGGACACAAAATGAATTGGTCTGAGTATGAAATTCTTGCCCTAACAACCAAAACCTTATTCCAACCAGGCAACTTTAGGTGGTCGGATCAGGATTTTGAGTATATCGGAGCAAAAATAGAGAAATTTAAACTAGACAAAGGGAGAGAAACCAATGGCTTAGCCCCATTCCATGTACACACAAGCGCCTACACACACACATGCATTTTCTCATTTAGTCCCATTGCAACAGAGCCTCTTTTCTACCCTTATGTTATGTTTGTGTGTATTCCTATACAATTCAAAATTTTTTCTAAATCGGTCAGCCTCCTATCTGTAGCTTATGTGTCATTTATTGACCTAAGATCTGAGTCAGAGGTGGGTGATGACCGCTGAGCTAGAAGTGCTAAGGCAAAGACATGATATGGATGTTCGTTCCAATCTGTGCCATTGATCAAGGAATGTTAAGAATGAGGACCGGCAGACTGGCTATGTAAAAAAACAAATTAGGGTGTTGGGAAAATCTTTTCTTCTAATGTCTTCATTGTTTAATTGGTTTTGTTTCCTCTCCTTCTTGTACTTGCATTCTTTCTTTTCGTGTGGCAGTAAATATTTTTCATTCTTCAGTCTTGTGCTGTTTTCCACGTAACATGTAAGACTGCTTGCAGGGCATGCAGGTGAATTTGTGCCTTAAGGTCACAAGTCGTAGTTAATAAATTGTCAATAGGGTTTTACATGACTGTGTGCATTTCATTCTTCCCCACCTTATTCACATCTGTTTTTACTCAGTTTACTGGACAATCACTCACCTGATAACCCTGAAGTGTTTCAACAGCATAACAATTTAAAACCTTGAATGAAATAACTAAATGTCTCTCCTTTTGTCTCCACCCACCCAGAGTGTTATGGATCACTTCAACCCAGGACTGAGGAATCTGGTCAACCTGGGCAAGAACTATGAGAAATCAGTGGCTGGTGAGCAATTTTACTAAACGAATTAACATTTACAGTAAATTAGAATTTAGAAAAACAGATGCTTGTGATGAGGAGGTTAAAGGATGGCTGGGAGAGTAAAAGCTTTTACTGCTGAGCTGGTGTCCTTTATTTGTTCACTCCATTGTAAGTCTTAGAACCAAGGCTCATTAAACATATTTGGTGTTTTGCCTTACAGGTTTTGTTTGAATAGAATTGAACTTTTTTTGTTTTGCAAAGGTATACAGGCCAAATTATAGTACCTTTTAGATATTATTTAAGGTGTTGTTCAGTGGACAAATATTAATGATCATTTCATCATTTTCCCAGCAATGACCCTGGCGGGAAAGTTGTATTTTGATGCAATGTCTAAGATTGGGGAGAGTGCTGCAGTGTCTCCCGTCTCCAGAGAATTAGGTAAGTTTCCGTGTTGCCCTGTCCTCTGGCTCTCTACTGGGATAAACTGGGGGGAATTTGCATAGTGCAGAGAAGGTTCCTGCTTTCCTGAAGTAGTTGTTTATCTCACTTTGGTCTCCAAAACATTTATTGTTGGTTTTCAGGGCTGCATATAAACAGTATATATCTGTAATCAATATAAGTAGAGGAAATTTAGGGAAGACATTTTCTGGATAATTTCTTCTACATCCTGGCCATCAGACATCAACAGTTTCTCATTGTACTATTTATAATAAATTATGTTATATAATTTTTTAATTGTAGTGGTTTATTGCAGTTTTATAGAAAATTTATTCAAGGAAAATATCAATACAGTAAACGGTAATAAATGCAAGATAAAGCAAGGTAACATAAATACCTCCAGTCACTGGCTTAATATTCTGCCAGCCTGAGCTCATGATGCAAATAAGTCCATCTACAAAAAGTCCTGATGGCCAAACCAGTTCACCTTCAACCTGGACAGAGAAATGTGTAGTGAGTCTCATAAAGAATATAATTTGATAAACAGTGCTGAATCCATGTGAATCCTTAAATGTAGCCTACAACATATGAAAACCAACTCCAGTTATTTTATTAGAAGTGCTTGTGGCGTGGCTCTTCAGTTAAAGGCATTGCTGCTGAATTTTGAGCTAATTGGTGTCCTGTTTTGAAGAAAGAAGGTAAACGAAAACAATAAGTACAAGCATGTACTGTCGGATGTTCTCATTATCATTGAGATGCACAAGCCAGGGAGCACTGCAGCCTGGCAGCAGTTACACTTTGATTAATGCCAGCATGATGCTTGTGATGCATGTACTACTGTGCGCCTGCTAAGCTTAGACATATACCGTGGCTGGGTTTGTTTGGTTCACTGTTTGTTTCTAGCCATCTCCCCAGGCGTCCGTTCCCACAAGCTCATTTGCAGTCCAAAGATGTCTAGCGTCCTAACTCTTTGTCACTAGTGGCATACTTTGATTTAACCGCTGTATGTCTCTCAGCTCCCCTGCTGATTAGCAGCAAAACTGCTAATTAAATTCAGCAGCACAATGGGAAGTGCCACCTGGTGTCAATTTCCTGGCACACTTAAAGTAATACTGTGCCCAAAAAATGAAACATTCAGTGTAGACTTGAAGGTTGGCTGGAAAAGTTTGTAATTTTCTCATAAATGAAGCGCTCAAATGAATTCATGTCCATAACAGTGTGATTATAAATCCACATCTCAGCTTTCCATCTGTTCAGCATGTCGGAAACAGTCATTGTTTTTGTTGCAAAGAATGGAGTGTTTGGACAACTGTGAAGGGACAATGCTGCAGGAGAAATTTCAGTGGATTTGTGGTACTTTTTCAACCACGGTCAAAACTTCTCAGCCAACAGCCAGCTTTGTCGAAGACTTTATATGTGTCTACTGTATTTTAGTCTGTAATCTTCCCTCATTTAGACTGACATATATTATTATAGACGTTTACTAACTGGTTTGTCATCTGTTATAAAATATACTCAGTGTGCCGGTGATGCACTTTCAGTATCTAAAAGGCAAACTGGCCTGTCATCTATTTAAGGGATGACAAGGGCTTAAGACTGCTGGATGTTCACCTAAAAATGTGTTGTTGGTTCCTGCTGTAAAAGGGCCTTAATTAGAGCATTTTACAGTAAACCAGGTCCTCTTACGGTGAGCACAGCTTGGAATATGCTTCCTGTAATAGGAAGTGAAGAGGAAATGAGGGGAGGGACACAAACAAACTGCTGATTATTATCATTGTCCATTTAAGTAATTAAAAAAGTCCCCCTTTTTTTTTTTTACCCAATAATCATCTGATAGTCACCATAAGATAAGATGACAGATGAATTCCCCTTTTTTGAAAAATGATAAATCCTACACATGATGTAGACACTCCATTAGCATTACAAAACAGTTTTTAAATGGTAAAGTCATAATGTCCCAGCTGAGTCGCACTCACCCCTGACCTGTGGACTCCAGCACCCATTAATCTCTGTATGAGACAGATGGACAGAAACAGGGAGAGGCACTCTGGTCTTATGACATATCAGTTAGTCTGAGTCATTATGGGAGATTATGTAGTGCAGGGGTGATTAAATACACACTACAAACAGTCATCTAAACTAATGAACCGGGCCCGTAAACCCAAATGCATTGTAACTGGAATCTGCACCACACAACCCCATAACCAGCCAGGATGTCCAGCCGCTTAAAGAATAATAAGGACACAGAAATTCTCCTTAGAATCGTGAGGTGTTTCACAAAGAATAAGGAAGTCTCCGCATCTTGTTTCTCAGCCTGCTAGTGGACGTAGTGAAGCTGCCCCGTCAGAAACCTGAGCTTCAGTGACTCATTGCCAGCCAGAAACCAGATACTCTCGAGAGGCAGTGGAGGACTGGAGCACCTCGTCCTCCTACCTTCTCCCTTTTAATTCCTTTGGTCCCTCTCCCTCCTCCTCCTCTTCCCCTGCCAGAGTTCAGATGTCAACAGTTGTTTCATTCATGCACTCTGGTATCTGACCTGTTTCCTTTTTTGGTCAGATCGGGATATATAGACACCATACGTTTGAGCCTTCCTGTGTTCAGCCTGTATATCTTATAATTGTATTTGAAGTCTTACTGATGCTGGAAACTAAAACATGTTGTTGGTTACCTCTGAGAATTTTGACAAGGACCCTGCAACTGCTGCCACAAAATCTGAAGAGTACTTAAAGATATAATACGTAACTTTTCTGGATTAAATGTTTAAAAACGAGTAGTTGTGTGCTTTATACAAAATGTTTCTATTTTATTCAAGGTAACGTTATGTTTCATGTGGTTGCCTGACAATGGCGTCATATACCTTTTGCCCATATGTCAGCGTTGTGGTTGTCTGGCAGAAGCTGTCATAAAATGACTGTTTATCTAGTGTTAAGCCACATTTATTAGATGCACTTTTTAGATCTTGGCCTTTTTTAACTATATATTCTAACCGGATGAAGGGTTTTAGGTGTCTGCCGAACACTGATTTTTAGCATGCAGCTGACTGCAGTAAAGGCAATTGTGGTGAAGACAACTCCCATTGTACCATGCTACTTCAGTGTCATCAAACTAGGTCTTTTGTTACTGTCTTGATGTGAGAAAATGACATACTGTGCATTTAACACACTGTGAAACACTATGACAGTGCAGCATTGTGTTATCCGCAGGCAACTTAAACTCATCCAATCTTGTCCTTTTACCGCGCGCGCACACGCGCGCACACGCACACACACACACACGCACACACACGTGTCCTTTTGATGGTCCTGGCCTGTTCAAATGGCATCAGGCCCACTTTACATAATCCAAACATGTTTGCATGGTGTGTCAGGTGGCTCTCTCCGATGCCAGGATTATTTTGCCCACAGTCAAAAACTGTGGAAGAACTGTGGGCCGCTTTGCATGCTACCAGCAAAATGTTGTTTTCAAAATCAGCTCAAAGTAGGGAGGAGTTATATATTTTTTTTCTCCCTTTTCTATTTTTTGCACACATTCAGTTCTGTTTATTTCACTCTCAGACTATATTTTACTTTGTGTTCTACTTTATCTCTGTTCCAAGGTAGCCACAGAGCTCACTGCACAAGAATGGAGCTTGATAACATTTTTGTAATGTTAATATCTGTTGCAATCAAATGATCATTGTTCATAGTATGCATTTTTATGATGACACAGCTTATTTTCTGCCTTTCTGCAAACACACACACTTGCGTGATTGGCAGTTCACCAGAGGCAAGGTAGAACTGATTTAGAGTTGGGTGTGCGATTCTAATCCAATACACGCCCTTTTTGTCAAATTCAGTGAATATCTTCTCATGGTCTGCTGTCTGTCTGCTCAGTGTGTGCTCTGAAAAATAATCTGGTGTTTGTACTCAGCCCTGGCTCTGTAAATGGGAAACAAACAAAAAGTGGCTCAGGCCGAGCCACACAACGTTATTCCAGCTGTGTGAAAGGTAACGTTAAATGACTTGCCCACACATTCAGCTTACTTTCTAGTTTGCCAAGACATGCTGCTGTTTTGATGTTAGCCAGCAGAGATGGGAGTATCGCTGTCCGGAGCAGGTGTGCCGGCTCCAGGACGGTCTCATCCTCTCTGCATGTTAGCTTTGCAGCAGTAACTTTAGCGATAGTTTGCTAACCCACAACACAGATAATGTTGGTTACGTTTCTTGCTGTGTCGTTGTTCGCTCAATATCATGGTGTTGGTTATGGTGTTGGATTTCTCTAAAATTGCATTTTCCAATTCTTTTAAATCAGTGGTGGTGTTCAAACAGCAGATACTGTCAGGTAAACTAGAGTGTACTAAGGACAAGCATGCATTTTCTGTAGGTGCTGTCTTCCATGTAACATGGCAGTGTAGAAACAAAGATAGCGACTGTTTGGCACTATGTCTGAGTGAAACTACATTATTGATGATCTTCTCTAATCTAAAACCTTCTTGCAGTTTCACATTTACCTACTGTATGACTGATTTAAGTCTAAAGCTACTGCATTGTCAGATGCTACTTTTTGTATTTGAGTAACAGCTGTCACCCCTATAATAGTAAATGTAAAAGTGCTCCACAAAGCATGGTGTGTCCAGACATGACTTCAGACCCATTTACAGGCTGGGTAAACATGACTGTAGGCAGCCCATCTGTTTTGTGTAGGTTTATCTCGGTTTAGTGTTGTTAGCTAATGGCGGTGGTTTGCTTCTGCTGTTCCACATCATGACACACTTTTGCCCTCATACCTTGCTTGACTGAGAACACTTGTTGCCCAGCAATGTTTGGTACAGACTGTGACAACAGTAAATAAATGAGTGTGAATTGCTGGGAAAAGGCTGCTGATTCCCGTGACTGTTACTGTAGCTAAGACTGGTGTGTGCAATCGGTAACATGACACATTTGCATTGATTTGAGATGTAGTCACATGTTTATGACTCACAACTTTTATGTCCTTCAAATAAACCAGTTTGTCAGGTATTTGAGTCTATACCACACCCGCTGACGTTTTTAAGATTACGCAGTCCTTATTGGAAGATAAAGGAGACTTTAAGATCAGATGTATCAGATATTCAGTTTTGGCCATTTCAGTGCCTAGGTCACTTTTACCTCAGGGTCCCTCTGAGAAATTCTTATTCTTTGCCATGATGAGCCTCTGCCCTCCTTTTTTTTTTTTTTTTTTTTTTTCCTCCTAATCCAGCACTCTAACACACTCTTTATCCTTTTATAGTTTTATTTATTTATTTATTTTTTCAATACTTACTGTACCTTTTCTACTATGCACATCCTCCATAATTTCTCCCCTCTCCTCCCATCCTATCCCAGCTGGTGCTCCCCCCTCAGTCCCGTTTCTCCCACTATGTCAAAGGGCACTTTAACTGGGATGATCCATTGGTCTTTATCTGTCGAGCTGAGTGAAAGAGCAAGTCTTTCCCTAAGGCAAGGTGGGGCAGTCAAGGTGTAAAAAGACAAAGTGGGGAAGGGCAGTGTTTACATACTGACGAACGTACAGGTCATAGTGATGTGTCAGACTGGCAGCCTGTTGAAAGCGTCGAAAGGGTTTTTGCGTGGTAAATTTGTACACGTCTGAATGCTGTGGAGAAATCTGAGAGAATTCCTGTCAAAGCACAAGGGCACCTTTTATTCATCTTTAAAAACTCACTTCCTTTGAGGTTTGCATAGACGGCATCCTTTTCACATTTGTTGTAATATTGTTCAACAGCATCTACAAACCTTAACAGATAGGGAAATATTGAATGAAAGTATTATTCACCGAGCCAACATGGTGCCCTCTGTGATGGCCCAAGTCATACATTTGTTATGGACAAATTAGCTGTTAGTGTGCGCTGCTGTCCAGAAAATCTTGTTTTTAAAACATATCTCAAGGTTACATCACTATTAACACCCCAGTGTTCAGTACAGCTGTACTTGCTGGCTACTGAAGAATGTTTTTTGTTGTGACATCTACTCACTGTACACGGAAAATGAATGCCTAAGGGAAAAGCTCCGTGTGGGAAAAAGTCATAACATGCAGTGTCCAAGTTTCCATACTGATGATTTGCATCCTGCTATTATGCCCAACACAACAAATGAATCTGTGGTAGACAGATAGTCTGCAACCTATCACGCATCCTACATCTATGCTGCAAACAGAGACAACGTACCCAACATAATCCGTACACTTTCTATGATTTTAATTATAGTTGGAATAGAAATTTATATTAAGCGTGTCTCTTGGAGGACTGTGTCCAAAAATTATTTTCTGTTTTTATAAGATTTAAATTTTTTTTAAAACAGCCTGAAGTTGTAGTTCAGCTGCTGTAGGTCTGCTGATTCTCCATCTGTATTTCTCTTTTTGCTTCTTGAGAAAAGTGACCCTCCGTCTGTCTTTAGACAATTTTTCAGAATCGTTGGCCCACACACATCTTTGCAAGCACACACATTGTTCTTTATGTCTACCAGTAATCTGAGGGGTGTTAAAATAGTTTTTTTTGATCAATGAACCTCACCAACAAAACACACATGGGAGTGTAAATACACAAAGCAGAGGCCTTTTCAGTCTGTGAGCAACGCTATCGGAGAGGGAGGAGGCAGTAGCTCACTCCGGGGGGACTTGGGAACCGGAAGGTGGCCGGTCCAGCATTGTTCATAGTACGGCGTGTGCACTGGTAGCTCGAGAGGTGCTAATTCACTTCCTGGGCACTGCCGACCTGCCCTTAAGCAAGGCACTGAAGGCCTAACTGCCCAAAGCACCTGACTATGTGGTCTGTCTGACATCACTCCATACTTTAATGCATATGTATAGGTTCTGTTTGTGCATATATGTTGGGTGTGTGTGTGGTGTGGGGTGTGTGTGTGTGTGTGTGTGTGTAAAAATTGAATTGAAGTTTGTATTACCCCAAAAGGGAAAAAAATATATAATAATATCTTCTTCTTCTGCAGGCCACAGACAATATGTTAGAAAAAGACACAAGGCCATCTGGCTGCTGTGTCACTGCTCTTAGTGCTACATAATGCTGCAAAAGTCTGAGAAAAGTGTTTGGCAACTATAATGAAATTTTTAGCTTTTCTTAGAACAAGCTTTATAGTGAGCTATATTCATGGGGCTGCGAAATGGTCTGTTATTTTAATGATCACTTTTAAATCACTGATTGCGTGCTGTGTAATGTAGCGGGGAGGTCAATAGGAAATTTAATTACACTTTTCCACATAATTTTGCTCTGTAATCCTAATTTGATTGCATTTGTGAGCAACGTGCAAAGACAGAAGGTTATAATTTGTGGCTGCCTGCCATCTGAGCTCTTTTTGATTAGCCAAGCAGTAGGTGGCCTGGTTTTTCTGGTCCAAGCAAATGGGTTTATTTTCCTTTCAACTCAGTGAAGGGAATTGTTTGTAACATAATCTGTAGCTGGGGACATTTCATGGGTTTTGATGTTCCAAATGATGCGCATCACTTCTCAGACATGCGTTCATTCATATACAGTGTAGCGTTTATATTGTCGTCATTATCATTGTTCGCTATTGTCAAGTGTTGCGCAATAGCTTTAGATAAAATCATATTTTCTGTTTTAAAAAAAAGGACTAAACAATTAGATTTAGAATCTAACCTACTAGAATTAGTCTTCTGACATTAATCTGTACACTTTTCTTTCTCCCCCTCTCTCTCTTCTCCTCTGTCTGTGTGGCAGGTGTAGTGCTGATGGAAATTTCAGAGGTCCACAGGAAGGTTCATCTTGAGCTGGAAGAAAATGTGAGTGCTAGATATGTTTTTGCACTTGCATACATGCTTCCCCGAAGATTCTTGTGTAAATTGCGTTGCCTCACCCAGATTCACTTTGTCCAGAACTGTCACACACTCAACCTGTTGCTCAGAATATTTCCATTCAACTGCAAGTGAAGACACAGTTCGCTAAACGACATTTAATTGTTGCCGGCACATTTCTCTCTCCTCCTCCTACTTTTTGATAGACAGACACTATCAGAGGGAGGATAGGAGAATCTTCCCTCCGAGACAAGCAAAATAAAAAAGTGGGTAGATGAGGAAGGGAAACAACAGGTTTGGGTTGTAGGAGCACCTGTTGGTTTATTTCCCTGCTGAGAGCAGGGCAGGTCTCAACATGCCCTGGGATAACACCAGCTGGAGTACAGCCTCATTTAGGCTGTTAGCATGCTAACACCAAAGTGGATCTTGAATTAATTATTCTTTTCATTATTAAATAATCTTTTAATTATCTTTTCAATTTATTTAATAATTGTTTAGTATGTAAAATTATAGAAATTAAGGAAAGATGTACCTTAGAAGAGCCCAAAGTGTCATCGTTTATTTGACAAAAGAAGAGAAAAAACTCCCAACGGATTCAGTTTGTGATGACCTCAGGTAGAATCAGCAAAATCTCACTTTGCAGAAGCTGGAACATACAAATGTTTGGTATTTTCATTTGATAAATAACTAATTGTTGTTTAATTTTCTGTCCATCCACTAATCAAATTGACTACAATCATTGGAAACATTTATGTTGTCACATAGAACTTTTAGATCTTTACAGGGTATCACTATTTATTTATTTTTTTCTTAATGTTGCATAAGCTTTGTGCTTGGGAAAATAAAGTTGAACTTTGGGGCCTCTGACACATTGTTGCTAACATCATTAGTGGGTGGGTTGACTTATTAATGGACTTCAGTTGGTGAGTCACAGCTTCAAGTCAGGTCAGAGAAAATGATGGAAGAAAACCTTTCGCGGACTTGGATGAGGTTGTGTGTGTGCGATAAGGTCATCTGTGTGTCTTCAATAATGAGGTCTTCCAATTCATTGGTCCGCCAATGTGGGCGCCGCCGCTGCATCGCAACAATGATGCGGTGATGAGCACACTTCGACACCCTCACACTAATGAGAGGGAGCTGGAGAGAAAGAGAGAAATTGAGAGAAGTCAGTGGTTATTCCCACGCTTTGTTTCTGACTCATTCATAAGCGCAACCTTGGCTCTCACCCCCGCACACATGTACCGATGATCACTCTAAATGATCACTTTCAATTTCTCTCTTTGAGACTTACAGCATGTCCCTGTTTTCCGCTGACAAACTGTAGCACTCTATCCTCCCAAGTTTGTAATCATCAGTGTGTCTTCTTCCCATCTCCTGCCTCTGGTCCCTCCTCCTCCCCCAAAGTTCAAGAGGTTCCACAGGGAGATAATAGCCGAGCTGGAGAGAAAGACTGACATGGATGTCAAATACATGACAGTGAGTAGTTTCTGTGTGTGCACTTGCACAACACTGTGCATGCACATTGCCATATGAAAGTATGTTTTTGTTCTCATCATCGGTTTGTTGCCTGGTACATGTTTATTAGTCGCTTACAGGGAATTATTGGAAACCGCACACAGACATGTCTGTAAGCTAAAGACTATTTGATAATCGACAGTTGTGATCATGAACAAAACGAGCAAGTAGATGGATGGAAACTGATCACTCAATGACAGGAGGATTTCATTTACACTCAAACACTTGAAGTGTAATCTAATTCTTTGCAGCAATTCAGTGCTATAATTTTCTATCATTATGACTGCAGTCATGGCAAATAAATGTATGTCCTAATGGGAGTTCCTGCTGCAACAAAACACAGAAGGAAAACTTATTTTTTCCAGCAATCAAAGCGGTTGTTGTTGTGTGTTGTGTTTTTTTTTTTGTTTGTTTGTTTGTTAACTAATTTCACATTGGAATCAGTGATGGTTAATGCTTTTAACTTAATCATAATAAAGTTTTTACTGCTGAATGGCAAATTTAGCCAGGACATCATTACATCAAATCAGTGTATTGATAAAATGTCAGTTACGGCAAGTGAAATAAAAGTAATAATATGTGTTTCAGAAATAGTCCAAACACTAAAATAAATGCATGGGTTAGACAACTGTGGGGAAAAAAATTTTCATCACTGAGCCGGTTATTCTAAAAGAGCAAACTCACTCTTGATTTCAGCTGCCTTGGTAGCTACATGGTTCTGGCAAACATCAGATTTCTGTTCCAGCATTCACAGGGATCTTTCCTCTGCTCCAGGCCACATTTAAGAGGTACCAGATGGAGCACAAGATGAAGCAGGACTCACTGGAGAGATCCCAGTCAGACTTGAAGAAGCTGAGGAGAAAGAGCCAAGGCAAGAACGCCGGCAAGTACGAGAACAAGGAGAGCGAGGTGAGATGGACACAACTAAAGACACGTGACACATCATACATGGATGCTCTGTCTTTTATACACACAGACGGAGAGAGAGAGAGAGAGAGAAATGCATTGACATAATTACACAGACACAATCGTTCACAAAACTTGATGCCTGAGACACACCATGTGAAAGCCGGTGTAACAGTCGTTTGATTTGATCGAGCCCCATTGATTTGCCAAAAGGGTTCCCTGATCTCTGAACAGTGACTGGCCCTGGCTCTACAGATAAACAAATCAGTTTTGCTCCACATTTCACTGAAATATGTGTATATATGTGAGTGTGTAGCACTTGTCATTTGTGATCCATAAAACAGCATTTGAGACTCATAGCGGCGGATTCAAGCAGCTATCGACTTGTAAGTGTATCGAAAAAAAGTGTACCTCTATTGCATGAATTTATATACTGATTTGCACATGTGCAAATTTTGTCCGTAACGTCACGTTTTTGATACAAATGTGTGAATGTGTTTTGCACATGGGAAAGAAAACAAAGACTACAAGTTTGAAACTCCAAAAGTATTTTTAAGATTTACTTCAAATTTACACATTTGTAACTATTTTGTACAGCTACAAATTCCACTGTCACAGGGGCTCAGTTGTTTTGTTCCAATAATACCATCATAGCTTGGGACAGTGTGTGAAGTGTCTGGTCTGTGCAGTCATACGTCTCTGTTTGGTGTTGTCTGCTCTACAAATATACCAGCAATGCAATCCTCTCTTGCTCCACCTGTATGCTCACTGATACAAGGGTCCACACCCATGCAAAATCAATCAACTATACAAGGACGAATGTTCACATTTGACCAGAGTTGCTAGTTATAAAATACTGTATTAATCCATGTGGACTATTGAGACGTATGTTTGTTTCAAGGTACTGCAAGCAACATTCACTGCCACTAAATGTCGCACAACAGAACCAACATCTCGGAACAAAACAAATGGGCCCTACAGCCTGCCAGACTCCATTGAGGAAAAAGTAATTTTACCTTGCAGATCATCAAACTTTCATTCAAACTGGACAGAAACAAAAATAAAATTCATCAAAACAATCTTTCTCAGTATTTTTACAGTTCCAACAAACATCAACTCTGGTTTGGTCACTTAAACCCTTAATTCACCAAAATATTCTGGCTTATACGCCTCAGCCACGCAACACGTGATGTGATCTTCAACGCAATACACACCACGTGCCACACACCTCTCCACACATAGGCCATAATAATACAAAAATACAGAGAGTATTGTTACAATCAAAGTTTGTTTAGGACACCCCATCTGGCACGTGCAATGGTCATGCAGTGAATAGTGACTATTCTTTCTGACCAATCAGTAGTCTGCAGTGTTGACACATCACCTTTTGGTATCATCACAGCTCGCTTTGAACCTTGACGAGAAAAAACCTACTTGGTACCAGATTTGCCCAATGGAAAACAAAGGTGAGTTGAGTTGAGCTGGTACCACTTGGATGGAAAGGGGACATAAGAGTCTGACAACATTATGGTAATGATCCCTACATAGACCTTTTTGTTAAACAGTGAGATATTTTGGTTATTATGTAACTGCTATTGCTCACCACCAGACTCCGGTGGAAAAAAAACAATTTAACCTTGCAGATTATTGTTTAATATATTTAATTTTATTGCTCCTACAATCACCAAATTCAGTTTGGTCGAAATCAATCCTTAATTCACTGCACTGAGATGAGAAAAGAAACAGCTGTTGTCTTGCTCTCCTCACAGAAGGTTTTCACACACAGCCAGACCGGCTGTATAAACAGAACAGTGAAGCTTGGAGTACAACACAGGCGTGTGTGACGTTATTCTCTAAGGACGTTGTTACTCCACTATGTCTTTACACAGCTAATAGTTGTCGGCTGCTATATTAATGTAATGTTTAGAATCTCATATACAGAACCTTTAACGCAGAGTTAGCCAGTTCAACATCACTCTTTACTTTCTTTTCATACCCTGTTTATAGCAAATATCATTCATGGTCCAGTGCTGGAAAATGAGTTACTGATTTCATCACGGTTACCTGAGGTGGTTTACCCAAGTGCATACAATTAATCAGTGTTCTTACACGGTGCCACCGCACTCTAAAGCAGATGATACACGGGGCAACTTTTTGAGCAATGTTGCTGGGCAATGTTGCTGTTGGCAAGACCGACTATGTTTTGAATGGACAGCGGCGGGGTGGGCAGGTGGCGGAGTGGTGGGGGAAGGGGATTATTAATCTTTACTCATTACCACTGATGGCAACATTGCCCAGCACCATTGCTCTAAAAGTTGCTGTGTGTATCATCAGCTTAACAGTGACTCTACAGAAGGAAAATTTAGAGTTTAATCTCAAAGCTGCAACCCTGAGAGCACAGCAGTCTCAGATCTTACATAATCTTCCTGCCGTCAATCCAGTCAGGCTGCCTGTTTGCTTGGGTGTGTGTGTGTGTGTGTGTGTGTGTGTGTGTGAATGTTTAAGGGTTTGTGTATTCTGTCTACAACCTGCCTGGCAAAGTCAAAGAGAGAGCAGTTATATCACGAATATGTAGGTTTGTTGCAGCTTTAACTTTCTATGAGGACTTTGATTTTTCAATTCAGCTTTCAATTCGGTTTTGTTTATTTATCATAACGCAAAGAAAACTACTTGATAGAAACAAAAAGTAGTGGCCAGAAATTCACTTTCTCCAGTTATGTAAACTTGAATTCCAGCATGTTAACATGCTGTAAACCAGAGCTGAAGAAAATAATTAGGGCCCGAGCATAAAACATGCGAAATACCTATTGGAACTGAAGGATTTTTTTTTCTTCTGCAAAGTAATCTAATTTTAAACATAATTCAAAAACACATTTCAATCATCATTTCAATTCAGGCGGGGTGAAAAATTTCGTATTTTATGGGTCTCGCACATGGCTGTGGCAAAATGGCTTGGTAGCGCCCCCTACAGAGCAACTCCCGGCCGAAGTTTCACCTACATGTACGAAATTTCTGTGGTACGTGTATCATATTCAGACGTACAAAAAAGTGTCTTCGAGCGATTCCCCACACCCAACAGGAAGTTGGCCATTTTGGATTTAATGTAATTTTTGGTGATTTACACACTTCACACTTTAACAAACTCCTCCTAGGGAATTAATTAGATCGACTTAAAATTTTCGCTGTGTACTCTAAACCCACTGACAAAAGTTGAGAGAGAGAAACTGAAAGCATTCTTATTCCTTTCTCCATTGTATCTCTGCCACTCCTTCACCTTCTTCTGTTTCCTCTTTCCTTTTGTTTTCACTCGCCACTGTACTCCTATATCTGATTTAATGTCAGGTATGAGGATTTAGACACCCGACAGACACAGAGACGGGCGGGCAAACAGACAGGGTGTCAGGGTTTAGACGCAGGAGTTTACAGCAGCGGATGATTCACCATACATCCTAGACACTTCGAAAACTAGAGAAAGATCAGTCAGTGAGCAGAGCTGGGATTTAATAAAAAAATAAAAAAATAAATAAAAACCTGATCTGACTGTCAAACAACTTTTAAAAGTTTAGTGTCTGTACACAAGATTAACAAAGATTGAGATATGTATCAAGGCTCTTGCGTGTCAAAGAGGGAAAAGTGTGATTTATTTTTGGAAGAAATGTGTAGTGTGTTTTGTTTGTTTATTTTTCTCCTTTGTCTTATCTCTCTGTTGCCAACCCTTGCTCTTACTTACCTATAGTTCTCAGAATAAACAGAGGTTGTCCATAGCAACAAGCTTGCTGCAGTGTAGACAGATGTAAAATGATTAAGGGGGGGTGTGTGTGTGTGTGTGTGTGTGTGTGTGTGTGTGTGTGTGTGTGTGTGTGTGTGTGTGTGTGTGTGTGTGTGTGTGTGTGTGTGTGTGTCAAAATAGGATTTCACACTCCCCCTTTTTCCCCTCTCATCCACTTGTTAGAAGAAATTATGCCACCCACTTCTACAGTTCTGGAAAAGGTGTTGACACTCTCTCTTTCTCGGTCTCTCCTTTTTAATTATTTTCCATTCAAATGATCTTTACTGGCCTGAAATGCTACAGTATTTCTTACTAAAACAAAACACAAGAAAGGATAAATAGAATTAAAAGTACTTTAAATGCATGTGATACATCATAAATAATTCCAAGGGTAGTAATGAAATTATAATTACCCTGTAGAACATCTCAGTTAGCTAAATGAATGCAAATGATGAATACGTGTTTGGAGATCTGGAGCCCGATCCATAAAACTCTGTAGTGTCACAACTAAAACTGTGAGTTATAAATCTGCACATATGCATAGTTCTGTTGTTGTTATTGTGGAACTGGGCACAGTTCACCATAAGTGGATCATGTAGAAATGCCCTTAAACACATGCTTGCATATCGATACTTGTGCCCGCTCCATCTCTCATTAGACCTGCCAATGAGAAGAACGGCAAAGAAGTGATATCTCAACTAGAGCTCAACTGATATGGGATTTTTAAGACTGATACAGATTCTAATAATTGAGAATTTAAATTTGCATTTATCTGCTGTTAATAAACAGCAATACCGATTTAGCTCATATCTGGCGATAATATCGACGCACCAATTTATCGGTCAGGTTCTAAATTTAGCCATTATTATTAAATGTCAGAAAGATGATCAGTGATTGATTTAGAGAGCTCAATTTGCAACATACTTTACAAACTGCTTCATAATTCAGGATGCAATTAAAAGAGCATTAACAGAAAAACGCTGGCTCCAATGTACGTAAAAACAATGATAAAATTGTTCACTCATTAGCAATTTAAATTAAGTTTATGAATGTGCCTCTGACATTTTACAGAACGCAGTGTAGGCTACAAAAATGATAACACAATTGGCAAACAACCTAAACAATGTTTTACTGTAAGGGTAACGCCTCTCACCATATCCACCTTATCATATCATGTGTGGGAAATGGTGTATACTTGCTTGTGTATCTAGCGCATCTAACACTTATTTTCATTGTTGATTAATCTGTTGATTATTTTACTCAATTAATCAATTAGTTGTTTGGACTACAAAATGTCCCATGAGTTTACCCAAAGCACAAAGTGACTTCCTCAAATGTTTTAAAAAATCACATTTAAGAAGCTGGAATCAGAGAATTTTGCTTTTTTTTCCCCCCTCTAAAGAATTACTCACAGATTAATTGAGTATCATTAGCTGGCGACCAAACCTTTCCCCACCCCCACGTCCTTGTGAAAACAAATTCTGCAAATGTTTATTGCACATTGACGATTGATATAAAGTTAGTTTGTATCAGAAATACCACTGTTTTTTCATACACACAATAGAGTCAAATGCTTTCTGCAAGTCATCGAAGCAAGAGTATACTTTAGATTCGTTTTTAAATAACATTAGTTTCAGTTAAAGTTTGCAGTATGTGACTGGTCTATTGTACGAATTTCACCCCGGTCTAACTTTGGTGTTATACATTTTGTTTTTATAGATACTTAGTATTCGTGAGTTGATTTTACTACAGTCAAACTTGCTCTTGTATAGCAGGTTGAGATTATGGGATGTCAAGGTGAATGCAAACACCTGGGACAGCGAGGTCACTGGAAAAAACAGATGCAGGAAAAGAGATATAAAGGGAGAGCAACTGGGCAGTAATGTGGAGAGTGCTGTTTCTGCTGTAATGTGTGTAGGTGTGTATGTCTGCATCATACATTTGCATCTGCTTGTTTGCTGACATGTAGCCACAAAGGTAAGCCTGTTATCATAATGTTTGGTGTTGAGCAAGAGATCATCAACCATAAATTGATGTGTTCATGTAAGGACATCCTAGCATTGGAGAGACACAGATTCTCATTCGGGCAAGCAGACAGACAGCACTGTTTGGACGGTTTGCGCTTGAGGGGAAAAATGAATTAACCAGTGGTGGATTAGACTTGGACTGGAAAATCAAATAAATAGATATATATGATTGTAGATATTAAAGAGATCACTACCTTGGTAGATTAGCAAAGTCTTTATCATCCCATGGTATATACCATTACTGCACTTATTTTGTGTTGTTTGTTATCCTCTCTGACTGTTTTTATAGAAATAAAACACCCAGAGGAACAGTTACACAAACATTTTGATTAAGTAATTAACTCTGAAGTTAATGATCTTATTTATTTTTACACCCTTATGTGACACTAAAATTAATTTGGTTGAACTTCAGAACATTCTCCTTCTAAATGTCTACCGCATATCATACACAATATGTTTCTGGGTATAGGTTAACAGAGTAGATCTGAACTTTCCACACACAAAAAAGCACTTAACCCACCACAGCTTCCTGGTAAATAAAGCCCTCAGAAAAGGACCGTTGTAAGAGCTGAATAGAGAGGGTGTGTGCCATTGTATAAACAACCGTTACAGGCGTGTCAAATCCAGCTAGTGGGATAAGAATTACTCTTTGGATCTCAAGTGTAGCTCTGACAAGGTGTCGGGGATAAAAGACAACGTTAAAGAAGCCTTACGTGAACGATTGGTTTCACCATACAAACACGCCTCTAGGGGCCTGGCAACAATCCTAAGTTAATACTACATTTAAAGATCAATGTGTAAGAATTTTAGAGAGTGTGAAGAAGTACAAGCATACACCTTCTGAATTTAAGTTTCTCTCTTTCACCAAACTAAGACCAGCTTAATTGCCTTTTTAATTCATCATAAAAGACACTTCATTCAAACTTTACAGAAACTAAATAAAACTGACCAAAACCTTTTTGTGGTTAGTTTTCCACAGTTTTTTAACAATTGCCAGCTCTGGTTTGGTTGAAATAAACCCTTAATTCACAGAGTAGATATTTTGGCTCAACACGCTGTCACTGCCTCTCTGATGGCCGACCTTACTCTCGCTCTTCCTCTTGATGCCACCGTGTCTTCATAGTCCTGGTCTAACTAATGGCAGTTAGCAGTAGTTATGGCCTGATATGTGAAATGCTGCCCACTTTTTTCTGGAATATGAATTCAACAGGTGGAGAGTAGTCTCAATTCTTACACATTGTACCCGTTTTTATTTTTTTATACAATACATTATGGTTACTACTTTTTTCTGAAACCGTTATCTGTTTAGTTCACTCATATTTACATTTTATCATCTGAAATGTGTCTGTATGAAGCTTACATTCATTCATGTAAACAACATAATTTCAAATAAACAAAGATAATAAAAATGATCAAATAAGTTTAAAAAAAAGTTCATAGTCATAGATTAAGTGACTTCAGAAAGACACTTTCATATACATGCACAAGGGCACACACTAGTGTAAGATTCTTTCAGTAGCCTTTTGACATTTTTATAATCCCAGGTTTTCAGTGTAGATAAGATCCCCCTCCCTACAACTGCTGCGCCCTGACCCCCCTTTTCCTCCTGTTGCACTATCCTTTCACTAAACACTAAATGCAATCTGTCAAAACAGTAACCCCTGGTCTGGCCCCTGCAAGAGAGAGATTAGGATATTGAGAAAGGAGCCCTACTCCTTAATATCATTTGTTCTTGTTGGGGTTTGGGTACTGATTGGCAGTGAGAGCGACTAGATGGCTGCAACCCATGTGGCCGGGAAGATAAGACAAGATGATCTATTTTAGTTTGTTGGACAGTGGATAACAAAAGGCAAACCAATCCATTTAAATAGGATTCTTTTGTTATTATAATGTATAATGTTGTTATGTTTTTTTGTCAGTGCCTGGAAACGTTGACAAGCCGTCAGATGGACATGCAGTTGTTCATTGCAGACGGCTGTAAGGAGGCGCTGCTGGAGGAGAAGAGACGCTTTTGTTTCCTGGTGGACAAACACTGCTTGTTCTCCTACCAGATCGCCTCCTTCCATGACAAGGTACAAGACACTCCTTCTACTCGTTATGTTAGAATTTAAGTTGCAACGGTGGTGAAAAGCTATGTCACCAAGATTTTTAACTGTTCGGATCTTGAAGTACATCAGATTATACCTTACGGAGAAAACCTTCAACAAATATACTCAAATCAAAACACCAGCCAGAATAACTTATTCTAAAACCCACAATCTCAGGAATCTCAATGCATAGTGTTACCATAGTGATGAACATTCTTCTGCACTGTTTCTACTGATTACTCATGTGTTCTTTAAATATCTTTTCTTATGTGCCTGCTGAACAGGCCAGGGACATACTGACGGAAAAGCTGAGCAGCTGGCAGGACCAGTGCAACGATGCCACCGACATGCCCGAGAGCGTCTTGACGATGATCGAGCAACTGCGCACGGCCGTCCCCGTCACACCTCTGCCCTCTCCCTCCCCGTCACGGCACAGTGTGGTATGAGCAGAGGGATAAAGGGACTATTAAAGACGTGTTCACGAACTAGATATGTTGCTGCCTTGTATCAAAGTGCATTTTTTCTTTTGTGTGGTAGAACACGGTATCTGATCTGAAAGATGATGTGATTAGATTTAAGAGTACCTGACTGTACAGGTTTGCATATTAATGAAGCGTGAATATTAGTATGCTGAAGTACAATTATTATTTTATTTTTTTTTAACAAGATTATGTATGCATTAATTACATTTATTAAGCAAAATGTAGTTTAATATTCACATAAATGTTACCCCTTATCTTCTCTCATGACTACTGCAACAATAATAAGTGGAAATGGCTTTTTTTTAGATCTTACACTATGTTGGATCATGCACTATATTCATGCATCTTGCTAAATATGCTTTATAGATTTATGTTTAGATTTTGATGAGGCCAAAATACTATCCCCAGCTGTATTGGTGACTCAGTCTAATAATATACTTATAATAATCAACAGTGCTGGCCTAACATTATCATTAATGTTCTTGTGGCAGAACATCTCTGCTCCTCCGGCCCCACCTCTGAAGGCTCAGACCAGTCCTCTGGTTAGCATGTTCACCCAGGAGAACAGCACCCCCAGTGTAACCACCACTACCAACAACATCCCAGGTATTATTGCATGGAATATGGCATTGTTTTTTTTTATTTGGCACCTCCCTCTGTGACTTTGCGGCTTCCTCTGGCCTGAAAAAGTAGTATCTACTTAACTTGGGTTTGGTTGTGTCACTTTTTTCTTTGCAGTTTCACTGCCCATTCATTGCTATAAAAATCAGGAATTTCAGGAAGAAATGGTTGTATCAAATGTTTATTATAAATGATTGTTAGTTTGTAGCCATGCTAGTGGCAATGTAAGTCTGTCGTTTGGTCTGGTTATCAACAATCATTAAATGGGTTGCCATGAAATATGCTATTCAAGGTCCCTACAGGATACAATAAATTCTGATGACTGACTTTTCCTTTGGCACCACCATGAGGCTGACATTTTGGTTTATATTGAGTTGGATTGCCATTCTATCGACTATGATCCGCTAAACTTTCATCTAGCGGCTAGATAGCTAGACTTTATTTAAGTACAGAGAGAGCCGTTAGAATGGTTTCACTCTTCATCTTTACCTTTCTTCCTTCCTCCCTTCTAGACCACGGGAACAGCGAGGAGAACAATCTTGCCAGGTCTGTGTCTGTCGCCACAGGCCTCAACAATATAGTGAATAGGCCACGTGTGCGCACCGTTTTCCCCCACGCCGCCGGCAACAACAGCACACTGCTTAGCTTTGACGAGGGAGACATCATCATCCTCCTCATCCCCGACGAGAGAGACGGGTGGATGTACGGCGAACTGGAGAAGAATGGAAAGTGAGTGGAATCGCACATGTTCCTTTTGTCTAGAACAAATATGTGTTACTAAAGACTAAAATTCCACAAATTTGTGAAGGCATGGGCACTCGCTGTGCTGTACATAAGGACACACATGTGCATACGCTCACAATTAATGTATACCTCATTAACCTTATATTTCAATGACTATTAACAATATATTATTCTGTTTTATGTGTGAATTTATTATAATCACCACCAACCTAATCAAGGCCTTATTACCATGTTTGTCATGCATCCTTCTACCGTTCAGATGATTGATATGAGTTGGACTGCACTGTCCTAACTGGCCAGATGGTCTCTTGCCTGATTGTTATGCTAACCACGTACACGCAAGCACACAGCTCTAGGCTTGCAGAGTGCTGCCTGAGCTGGAACACTCGCTGATAAGGAAATCAAAGTAAAGTATGGCCTGAGGGTGGGATGTACGATAGCGGACTGGAGCGAGGCAGAGAGTGAAGTTTAGAGTACCACCTGCTCTCACACAGACAGGCACCAGGTCCGCTCTCCCCAGGTCTCTGATGTGTAGGGATTTGATCTGAAGCCCTTGGAAGTGTGTTTTTGAATTTGAAATTACCTGACAAATATATCCAAAGAACTGATCAAGGGCAGAAAGGAATCATTTCTGAGTGGCTTTCAAAATTGAAGCTGCCGCAAAGTAAAACTTTGGTCTTGCTGCCTCACCGCTGTGAGCGAGGCGAGCTAGAGTGCCTAAAGGCTAAAGTGTATATCATCATGTTTATCAGAGCATAGCACCTGACAAGATAGACTGTGTGTCCTGCAGGTTTGGCTTTGATGCATTTGAGTCTCTGGCTGAGTTTCTCCCTTTGTCTGATATCATCTTTGAAAGAGTATCCCGGCAACGCATGCCTGGCAACACCTAGGCTGATTCAGATACCCACACACACTATTGATGAGGAATAAATGTCAGCAAGACAGAGATACATTGAATCACAATGAGCTGCTAATAAATACTAACCCATCGCAACATTTGACCAATAATCTGACTTGGAGACTTTATTATTATCATGGTCACTTTCCCTAAACAGATTTAATCCCACGTCTTATTATTGAAACAGGCTTGTTACAGTTTTGCTTGCCTCTCCGGGGAAAGTCGGTGAGGTAGCGTGAACACCCCTGGCTAGCATTACAAGTGAGCTCTCCTTGAACAAGGTTTTTATTAATGCCAAGTTGTAGGAGTGAACCTGTTCAATGGCCATCAGAAACATTAGTGAAAGAATCCTTCCCCAAATAAATAAAAGCTCTTATTAATATGAGTGTGACTGAGTGAGGAGTACTTTTTTATCGCAGGTACACGAAGGAAACGCCTGTTCTCCAGGCCAAATGTGTAAATATTAACATTTATCCACATGGAGAAGCTGACCAGCTACACGCTGATTACATACATTCTTGTACCATAAGAGCACACAGTCCTTGGTCTGAGCTAGCTCTTTCTCACTTTTTCTAAACCTTTTCATTCTATCCTTTTTAAATGCTTTTTTCAAGCAGAAATAAAAAAAATATTTAATCAAATAAAGGTGAGAAATCATTGGAGCAAAGTCCCCTTAATTTAATTTAATCATTCGACTAGCTTCATCACGTCGTTCTTGCTATGTTTTTCAACTCCATAATGAAGTCAAGTTTATTTTGATATGTGTGTGGGCAAGAAGAAATGGCTATTTGAATTCCCTTGCTGAGGTCACTAGAAACCTTGTTTGTGAAATCTGACTGAGACACTGACTTTTTTTTTTAAACCGATGGCAAAGATTCATTCAAGATCCAAGCAAACACTCTAGTTGTGTGTCAGCAGGTCTGAGATAAGACCTTGAACACAAGACCTTAGAAAAGATGGAAAAGAATCACTCTCCAACCAATAGGGAAGAATTGTTTAAGATTTAATCCATCAAAATAAAGGGAAAGGGCATTTGAAATGAATCAGAAGGAGCTTTATTGCCAAGTGTTTTACACATACAAGGAATTTGCTTTGGTGATAAGGTGCTACACGCAGACAAACATACAGATGACATAAATAGATGTAGAAATATATCTACATGGCATCCGTTCATCAGCATGTGTTTTCTGTAATGAATTCCAGCATTTTGCTACCATAGTTACTGTAAGCATACATCCACACAGCATATACAATAGAGAAAACTGTAATATCTCTTTGGTATCTCAATAATGCGGGGACAAAAAAGAAGCCCATCTGTCTTTCTGTGTCTTCTGGTTAAGAGACGGAGGAAGCAACTGAGTTGAGGACCGACCCACTTATTTCGAGAAACTTTCAGATTCCCGTTCAATGAGAGCTGATGCGGAGGCCTCTGATGTAATCATCTCTAACCTGGCTTCTCTCTCTTTTGTCGCTGTTTTTGCAGGAGGGGCTGGTTCCCTTCATCTTACTGCCGTGCATTCTCCGAACCTCTCGTGAATAACAACGGGTAAGGAGACTCCACGTTCCAGCCAACACACACACACACACACAGCAGGTTTCATGTTGCAGCCAGCTGTATTGTTGGCAGTGTTTGCTCTAGTTACGCCTGTTAATAGTGATAACCTTTCTAATCCTATGAGGGACTCTCCCAGCCTTTGATTCCTGTTGTGCTGGAGTCACATTCTGCTTTCAATCTTTCTCAATAATTTAGCCAAATTAAACCTTTTCTGTATGTGTTGTTACGTGACATAACTCATGATTCATTTAATTATCTTTTGCTCATATAAATATTATGAAATGAATCTAAAATTGGATATTTCAGACAAGCTCAGCAAAATATCAGGAAACAGGATGTTGTGTGCTGATGAATAGATTTTGCTGCTGACGAGAGAGAGAGAGAGAGAGGGAAGGTTCAGAGAGTTTTCTTCAAAGAGACTAATCCCTGTTGGATTCATTTATTAGCTCTTAATGTGCTCCACCTCCCACAGAGAGGCTGCCAGCCAACTGCTGCAAGTCATGGAAACAGGAAGCTTAAGCTATAACCAGTGCCAGGGGACACAACAAGACACATGTACATCCTTGTCCTTTTGTCCTGATGAGGACCCTCCACTGACCATATTTAATCTGTACCACATCAGGCCTATAAACCTAACATCTACTTTAAGATTAACTTTAATCAAATTCAGTAAACCTAAACCCAAGATAAGGCCCTCAAACAGCCCTCCAAGATAGAAATACAGGAGCACACACACATGCCAAGACACTCAAGTCCTGTAATTAGTTTGATTAAGTGACCTTTTCTCTTCCCCTCTTTTACCGTCTCCCTTCTTCACTCCGCTCCTCCAGGCTGCATGTCGAAGTGTCCTTGGGCAAAATACTGAACCCCGAATTGCCCCTGGTGGCTGTTCCACTACTGTATGAATGTGTGTGAATGGTGAATGCGATGTAGTGTAAAAGCGCTTTGAGAGGTCGAAAAGATTAGAAAGGCGCTATACAAATACAGAACATTTACAATTTATATCTTTTCTTTCATATATCTGCGTCCCCTCATCTCTCACATCTTCCCTCCTCTTCCTCCTGCTGCTCTACAGTGTGTCTGCTGCCCCCGCCCGCAGTAAAAGTGTGGTCAACCTCCACCACCAGGACTCAGAGACGGACGAGGCGACCATGGTGCTCCCCCCTGCGGACTACTGTGACACCCCGCAACGCAACGCCATCAACAACAAAATCTTGTCCACCAGCACCGTCACCACACATAACAACCACCAGCACTCCCCCACACCCTCTGCAGCCTCTGATCTCCACACGGTCAGTCAGTGGGCTGGCGATTTGGTTAATGTACATGCATCTCACATTTTCTCAGTTTTGGCAAGAGTTTAAGCCAAGTGTTAAATGCTTCAGTAAGCCTAGTACAGTTAATCCCTGCCTTTAAATATGATTGTTCTGAGAAATGTAATTGTAATCGGCCCAGTTGACCTTCCGTCAAGCCCTGCCGTAATGTTGTGATAGGACACTCACCTGATACCTGCTATAGCATGGCTACTGTACCCTGCAGCCTTATCCTGACTGCTGATGACTGTGTGTGTTTGTGTGCGTGCAGGTGGTGTCAGATGAGCTTTGTATGTCTTGGAAACCTGACCACACTGATACACTCTGTGTCAGCTGACATACAGTGGGGGGAAAAAAGTATTTGACCCATTGCTGATTTTGCAAGTTTGCCCACTTACAAAGAATGCAACAATCTACAATTTTAATCATATGTACATTCTAACAGTGAAAGACAGAATCCCAAAGAAAATTCCAGAAAATCACATCATATGAATTTATAAAAATTGATAACCATCTGATGAGGAAAAACAAGTATATGATCCCCTGGACAAACAGCATGTTAATATTTTGTAGAAAAGCCATTATTGGCCAGCACAGATGTCAAACGGTTTTTACAGTTGGTGACAAGGTTTTTGCACATTTCGGCAGGGATGTTGGCCCACTCCTCCCTGCAGACAGCCTCCAAATCATTCAGGTTCCGAGGTTGTCGCCTGGCAACTCGAATTTTAAGCTCCCTCCAAAGATTTTCAATTGGATTCAGGTCTGGAGACTGGCTAGGCCACTCCAGAACCTTGATGTGCTTCTTCTTCAGCCACTCTTTTGTTGCTTTGGCGGTGTGCTTAGGGTCGTTGTCGTGCTGAAACACCCATCCTCGACCCATCTTCAGCTCTCTCACTGAGGGAAGGAGATGTTGGTCCAGAATTCCACGATACATGGCCCCGTCCATCCTCCCCTCAATACGATGGAGTTGTCCCGTCCCCTTGGCTGAAAAGCACCCCCAAAGCATGATGTTGCCACCACCATGCTTGACGGTGGAGATGGTGTTCTTTGGGTTGTACTCGGTGTTCTTTGCCCTCCAAACACGACGAGTTGCGTTGAGGCCAAAAAGTTCTATTTTGGTCTCATCTGACCACATCACCTTCTTCCAGGCCTCTTCTGAGTCGTCCAGGTGGTGAATGGCGAACTTCATGCGGGCCTGTACATGTTTCTTCTTGAGCAGGGTGACCTTGCGTGCGCTGCAGGATTTCAATCATGATGGCGTAGTGTGTTACCAACCGTTTCTTTTGTAACTGTGGTCCCAGCTGCCTTCAGTTGATTCATCAGTTCCCCCCTTGTGGTTTTAGGATGATTCCTCACCGTTCGCATGATCAGGGACACCCCACGAGGCGAGATCTTGTGTGGAGGCCCAGACCGAGGGAGGTTGGCGGTGGTGTGGTGCTTCTTCCATTTCCTGATAACTGCACCGACAGTTGATCTTTTCTCTCCAAGTTGCTTTCCATTCTCTTGTAGCCCATCCCAGCCTTGTGCAGATCAACAATCTTGTCCCTGATGTCCGTAGAAAGCTCTTTGGTCTTTCCCATGGTGGTGATGTTGGATGCTGGTTGTTTGGGTGTTGACAGGTGTCTTTTATACAGGTAACGAGGTGAGGCAGGTGTATTTGATGTAGATAATTGGTTGGGATTGGGGCTGTGTCTTAAAGAAAGACTAACTGGCTTGTAGGAGCCAGAATACTTGCTGTTTGGTAGGGGGTCATATACTTGTTTTTCCTCATCAGATGTTTATCAATTTTTATAAATTCATATGATGTGATTTTCTGGAATTTTCTTTGGGATTCTGTCTTTCACTGTTAGAATGTACATATGATTAAAATTGTAGATTGTTGCATTCTTTGTAAGCGGGCAAACCTGCAAAATCAGCAAGGGGTCAAATACTTTTTTCCCCCACTGTACATAATAAAAAAAAATCTATTATAGGGACTCAGGGGCAGTTTAAAACTGAGTGTGAGTAGGTAAAACTTCTAAGGCATGTGTGATATCTCAGACATTCTTGGTATTTTCATTCTCTGCATGTACAAACAATACTGATTTAAGCCTATTTTCTTGATACTTGGCTTTAGTCTAATATTTATTTGCAAGATCAGCACACTGTCTTGTAGACAAAAACTGTAATACTACAAATCAAATATTTTGAGAAGCAGAGATTGTCCTGCTCAGCATGAGGCAGAGGTGGTACAAAATGTTGGAGTATGGCTCATTAACTAAGATATTGCTGACTTTCGTTATGTGAGGTTTAGGTTGCTCAAACTGCAGAAGACACATTGATTAAGCACTTTACCTGTTTAAAAACCTCCATCAGGTGCATTGGGAACTTTAAATTGTTAAACTTTCAGCTCTATGTAGGGTATCCAAAAATCACCATAAAAGCCACCTTAGATGATGATGGACAGAGAAACTCTGTTTTTGTGGGAAAAAATGTTTTAGATTAGCGCCAGCTTTACTCCAAGTTTTTCTCTCCCAAATTGCTGTCAGAGGACTCTGTTCATCCTCACATGTTTGTAGGAGATGAATACAGAAGCTGAGCCAGGGTACAGCTGTAAAGAAGATCACCTTTGATACAATAATCCCCAGTGTACTGATAACAAGTCTCTGGGAGTCTCTTCTCCAGTAAGCGGCAGTAACATTGGGATAGAGCAGAGTCAGCCTGAAGTCTCCTCACATAAAGATGAATCAAGCGTTCTGTATTTCAGCAGATGGTTTTGAATATGTTGATCATTCCCCAACATAGAATTATTATCATTATATAGCATTATTGTTTCAGCCAACTCCCATACCAACATGGCTATAGCCATTACTCTTTGAATGTTCTGCCTTTTGCATACGATGCAAAGCATCAGCCAAAGTTGCGGTTTTCCTCTACGAAGGCATTTGTACAACATCAACATCACACAGACGCTGCTATTCTGGTCTATATGGATACACCTACAAGTGGAGTCCATTGACCCCTGAATGTTCCCTGAAAGATCAAAGGTTTAAGTGATGCACTGTACGTGCCATTGATTTACTAAAGTTTGCTAGAACCTTCACTTAACATATGGACTTAAGTGTCAAACTGGAAATGGTCAATATACAGTATGTCATTCTAGGTCTCATGTTTTAAACTTTGTTGTAACGCTTTTATTTATATATAATACTATTATTGCACCTGTCAAACTGTATTATGTACATGGACAGCCTAGGCAGACACAATTACAACAGAATACAAAAACAGTGACGTTACACACACGCACGCACACACGCACAGCCAATGTGGCTATTCTGGTCAGGTAGGTTGTGATGTTTGACCCAGATAGAGGTTTAGAGGTCAGATGGCAAATAGAGATATGTTTCTCTTTCCTGCTTCTACAGTATCCATTATTTACCACTCATTTGGTCCACAGCCACATTGCAGACATGCAGCTGTAGGGCCAGGGATTACCATACGCTCGTGTGTGCATCTCCACTGCCATGCCTGTCAGTCCACATCCAGCCTGCATCTCTCTACTACTAACATTATAGAGCATTTCCACTCTGGTCGAACCTGATGCCCACCTTTCCTCCCTGTCTTCATTCTTTGTTTCACTCATTGCCGTTTGTTTATCTCCACATCTCTACATTTGTCTCTCCATCTTCAATGCATTCCTCTTTCTCTTTGTCCCTTCCTCCGTTTCCTGGGTAAATACAGGTCACTAACAGGGACGTTTATCCTTTGTTCAATCCTAGAAACATACACAACCCCTTGCTTTAACTTTATTGAAAGATCCCACACAGATCCCAGAAGAAACATGCATGCAGCGAAATGTCTTCCACTCTTACAGTAGACTATAATACTATAAAATGTATGTTTAGCTCAGTGTATGTGGGTGGCTGAGGTTGTGTGTTGGTGTGTGCGCATGCGTGTTGGATTAGTAAACAACTTGTGGCTGCAACATTCACGAACATTATTGTATAATATATCGTATGATGTGTGTGCTGCATCAGTTTATTGCGCTGATCAGGAAATAAACTGAATGAATACGGGCAAGTGGAAAAGCCTGGAACCCTCACTGGTTTGGTGCTTTGTGTTAAGGAAACAATAATGACTCTCGGGAATGAATATGTTTAGAAGATGGAGAGAGGGAGTGAGAGTTATCTGAGAGCCTGAGATCTTCGGTGCCAAGACTGAAACACTCCCGGGGGGGGGGGGGGGGTCTCATCAGTCACTCTATACACGTCTGACCTCTTGTGGACTCTGTGCAGTACTGCAGGTTGAAAACAGGAGGACAGTGGGGCTGCCAGGAAGATCAACAATTTATCTTCAGCACTTAAGCGGGTAGACAGTTCACAAAACAGTGGCTGTGTCAGCAAACACACCCTATCTAGTCATTCACTACTCCCTATATAATAGACACTATCATAGAAGTAAATTGAGATTTCTGACATGTACCTTTTGTGTGAGTATTCACATGCGTGTTTTCATTCAACTGTGGAATATTTTGATGTCAAATAGAGCTGGACAGTAAATGTCATTAATGACACTAAATGGTAAATAGGGAGTGATGTAGGATAGCTCCACACTTGTTGACTTCAGTTTGTGTGTGGGTGTGGGTGTGTGTGTCTTTTGCAGGTAGACTTCCTCCTTCCATTTCTCACTTCAGTCACATATTTGTTATCTGTACATGGTCTCCAAGGTGTAACCAGGACCCAGAAAGTACTTTCCCTCGACTGTCCATTCGGCAGTGTGTCCAATCCTTCAGCAAAATGTGTGTGTGTGTGTGTGTGTGTGTGTGTGTACTGTACATCAAGGTTATTCAATTACAAATTAAATTGTGCCAGATTAAAAAAACAGGAAATATAGAGATTTTCAGCAGCCTATTTAAAAACTTTTTTAACCTTTTGATAATGACCAATTTTAAACAAATGCAAATGAATGTAGTACAAAACAGATAATAAACAAGTGCTTGCCACTCCAGGCAGGATTAAACTAAACTGACAGTTTTACCTTTCAGGGTTGACAGATATATGTTCAGTAGAGTATGTCCCTACTTGTGACTGTCTGACTTTTTGAAAGATAAGAATGTGTTGCTACGTAAACATGCTTCCTGATCGGTACTGTGTATGTGCAACTCTCTGCTGAGATGAGTATGAAACAAAATGGCTCACTCGTTAGCTACTTCCATACACTATATTTGTAGTTTACTTATTTTTTCATATCAGATTTATGTATGCTGGGGTTGCTTCTGGGCTGGATGTGGCCCACAGACCACTAATTCAATAGACCGGCTGTACATCTATCATGTAAATGCACAAAACGCAGTAGAAAAGGGGATGATTTGAGTTATTCATTCAGCAAATGTGTCATGGTTATGTATGTAACGACAAATTGTGTTACAGTGAGTGTGGGCCTTGTCACTCAGGTGATCGTGAATCTGTTTTCTCCTCAGGCTGTCCAGGCTAATGGCATCTCAAGACCTGCGCCCGCTTACCTCGCGTAAGTCACATTAGAACATGAATGAGATGATCTGCCTTTCTCTTACCCAAACATGCACTCATCACTCATCTCTGCTGCGTTTTCACAGGGGAGGGAACCCATTTGCCACAGTCAAGCTACGCCCAACTGTCACCAACGACCGCTCCGCACCGGTCATCTGATCTGCCCACATTTTTGCACATCCTCCATTCCCAGGACCTCCAGCAACACATTCTCCTGGTTTGGATAAAACAAAACTTGGCCAGTACTGAGGGAGGGGGGGGAAGCCTTTTGAATCCAGGATCCTCTCACTGTTGCAAACTCTCCTATGGAAGTATTTTGGAACAGTTTTATCCACAGAACAGATGATCATGTATTTAAGATAGATATATTTTCCATGTGTATATTTTTGTCCTGTTTGTGGTGGTGATATTTAAATGACCACATTCTTACCTGCACTCGAGAATTGGATGAATAAAAATGACAATACTGCAATGTATTTATACTGTTGATGTTGCTTATTAATCATCACAATGACTGTTGCCATTTCTTTTCTGTTGCCATAGGACAGTAGAATGTACTGTAGAGGACATATGCATTTCACCTTCAGGTCCTTATTAAAATGTTGCATCTCACTGTTGATATTTAAAAATGACTGTCAAATGCTGTCACGAGTTTTAAAAGAGATGCATCCAAAAAGGCACACAAGTGATCTTGAACCTGAAGTCCCTCTTGTATATGCAGTTGTACAACAGATGTTATAAATATTGTCCTTTGCCATCTAACTTAACTTTTTGTAGAGCTAGACAATCTTGAAGACAGGACTTATGCCTTAATGACACATACATACCTACTGTAAAAATATCATGCAGCTGTTGCATTCTTATGGACATGAGTGGTGACAATCTCATCTTAACATTGACGGTTATTTCTGCTTTAATCTTTACACATGCCCCCCCCCCCCTCTCTCATTGCACCCGTAATAGAATTTGCTCTATAAAAAATAAAAATGTATTTCTTCAACTTGTTTAGTTTGTTATCATGCACAGGTTATCTACACAGTCAGTTTGAATGTTCGGAATGCAAACTGTATATTTTAGTGCATCTACAAGAGTAATGTTCACCTATTTGAAAAAGATCGAAAAATAAATAAAGCAGTCAACAACATAATTAGCATTCACTTTTAATTACAGTAACTCATATAAAAAGTAAGAACCTCAATCATAAGAGCGTGCGTAGTGTGTTTTCTAAAGCAAGAAGATTTTTTTTTTTTAATCCTGTCCACCAAGTTATCTTTCTTCTGCCTTGGACAGTTAGAAAACATGTTTCTGCGATGGAAGACGTTGACATGGAGATACTGCAGACACAGGGACATGGACGTTCTCATTGATTGTCTGGTTGGGAGTAATGGGGCAGGGTGACTTGTCACAGAGTAGAGTACTAAGATAAAAATCCAAGAGATTATACACATTGAGAGATTTCTTCAGCTTTTACTCTCAGGAGGCTTTCTTGAAGTGAAACTCCACATATCAAAGGAGCAGTGTTCACTTTCCTATTAAAGTTTTCCTCTTAGAAGTAGGTACAAGTCCGAAGTCAAACAGTGATTGAGGTTGTAAAGTCGAGGGCATTTCAGATTGTATGTACCTGAGGTCTGCATTGGCCCTGGAAAAGCACAACCCAGCAGAAGAATCAAACAAACGGTGAGTGCAAATATGGCCCCAAGAAATAATAATCAAAAACAAACAAAGTGGTGCAGGCTTCCTGTCCAAAGCAAGTCCATCGCTTCAGCCAGCACAGTTCATGTCCAAGGATCATTACATGTCGTATTTTAAACATGTACGTGTTTTTCCATGTGTTTCACACTGAGCCCCCCACCCTCCCAAGAAAAGGGGTTTCTGGAAAAAAAAAAATACATCAGTGATCTATGAGGATGCTGTGGTGGGTACAATTTTGCTAAGCACAATGTTAAACACAAAAAGGTATACAGTGAGCCAGCAAAGACAAAAAAGGAAGAAAAAATCCTATAGAACTACATGTTCATTCTGGCTTGACGAAACAAGAAGGAATCTGCTCAGTTGCTTGGATGACTGAGCGAAATCTACAGGCGAAATCATGACTGATGGAATCTCTGACCACTCAGCATGTAGTGAAGGCACTGACAACAGCTGGCCACTTACATATGCTAGAATATATCTTCAACTAGCAGATAAACACACTGAGACTACGAATTCCTCTAATAAAAACTCATCATAATTTATGGTAATATCACTTGATCATTTGATGTACATTATGTAATGGCAACAGCAATGTGCAATATTAAGAAAAGATAACAAAATAAAAAGACAAAAATGCTGGATTATGTGTATGTGTGTATGCACAAGATCACGAGCAGGTGCACTAGTCGTGGTTTGGTCCCTCTAGCCAAAGGTGGCGCCGCAGTTGGGACATCTTCTCTGACGCAGTGCGAAGCAGAAAAGGAGACCCAGGGGGAAGAAGAAGATGGCACATAGGATCCCCAGGCAGGTGAAGTCATCCTCTAGGACACCAACTCTGCAACACAGAGAAACCAGAAATCAGAAACCATTAGAAAGGAACACATACCGAGAAAAACTTTTGATAACTAAACAGGCCTACCAGGTACAGTTTTTTTTTTTTTAAACAAGTGTTAAAGTTCCATGTTGGAAACATCCACAAGAGATGCAAAATGAACACAGAGCTGCAAAACATCCCCAAGAGACGCAATATGACCACAAAGAGACACAAAAAAGAGATGCAAAGAAGAAACCATGAGACACACCATTATGGGTCCAGCAAGTCCCTGGCTGTAGGCCATTTGGCATTACAAATAGAAGCTATTCAATGATATAGTTTCATATCAGAATAACTTGTTTATTCATTTATTACACTGAATAAACAATATAACTATTACTAATGTACAGTTAACTATTGCCAAGAACACATTTTACAAGTGCGCCCCACCTCTTTAAGACTACCAGACCTCTAACTTTACAATATCTTAAATGTACATAGTGTGCAAGATGTAAGGGTTGCTGAGCTTATGGTGATTGCAAAAAAAGTACGATCTAGACAGGGTTTTTGCCTCGTGTGGAAAAAATAAAATAATAATAATAATAATCTGTCAAATAAAAGAACCAAATAATTGTCAGAACATGAACCAACTCGTCTTGAAGGCATCTCAGGTGTCTCAGAGCAGCTTTAATCCAGAGTCCCGTAAACAAAGTGCTAACCATGGTCTTGTGACTGCACCACACCGACCAGCAGCATGGCCAGCAAATCTGCTGCAGGCCTAGCTCCTAAAGAGACAGGAAATGAAACGCCACTTTGGGAAGCACTTACTGGTACTGCTTTTAAAGAGTGTCCCATGGCTATGGATTTTTGGAGTGTAAATTAAATAGAAATAATCTTAATTACAGTGAAAATATTAGACACTGCTGTGATGAACTGGGTTTCATATTATTCTAGTTAGCTATTCTACCTAAAATATAATTTGCTTAACTGGCATTGTAAACAAACAGTGATTGGTCTGCTGATGTTGGAAGTATTTGTATTTACACAACTTATTTGTACACTGGTGCCAGGAACTGTGGCTTTCATTGAGCAAGTAACCATGGTCATGATGCAAATGCTAAGTGTACGAGCCTCTCTCAACACTTCTGTTTCACATGCTGTAGACAAACACAATATATACTGGTGCGGGTGTGTAAGTCTATAGGGTACTTTTAGAAATACAGCTTTGTAGAGCAAAACATTTAAATTAAATACATGAATTCATCACTGCAGTCTCAGCTAATTAGTCAAGTCAGTCAACAGTCATCCTTATTTAAAACTGATTTCATATTACAGTTTGAGAGACTGAGAATCATGAAATGAATTGCATGAATTACAAAGCAAGCACATAAATAACCAAAACCCAACAGTTCATTCACAGGTGAGAAGAAACAATCCTGCGGCACTGCTGTGAAATGAAAGCTACATAACCCGGTTCTTCAAGTTCCTGGAATGGAGATACAGTATATCGGGAGTAAATCTGATTTCCAGTTGGTGCGCTTGTGAATTGCATCCTGCAGCTACCTTGGGCCCCATGTGGCATGACCTGCTCCGTCACATGTTTGAGGCTGAAATCATCTGACTGACAGGATGTTGACTCATGCACAGTGAAACCTAAAACTAACCTAAAGCCATGACCGCTTAACAACAGGTCACACTGTAGGCCTGACTAGGAACAATGAAAACACATACAGATAGCAAACGTGTTTAAACACAAAGACACACAGACAGAAGGGGATGGTTTCAGCCTCAAAAAAGGAACTGTGCACAGATTCAGAGAAGCAGCTTAGTCACAGTGAACATGGGACACTCCTCTTTAAGCATGTGCTAATCTAGAGACCGGAGAAATCAAAGTGTTCTGATGTGTCCTCACCTGCAGGCAGGGCAGCCTCCCACCACCACTACAGAGGGTTGGATGATGGTGTAAGTCCCAGCATAGGGCTGCTGGGCAATGGCAGGGCCCATTTGGGCTGACGGGTATCCTGTGGTTGACAGAAGGTGATGGCATACTTGTTATATAAATAATATTTAATAATTAGAAAGTTACATACCACATTTTGAGTTTTATTCAGGGGATTTTAGCATGAATGTGACCATGCACACTCAGCAGTGACACATACTCACAGCCAAAGGCCGCACTTATCAGTGTGAACAGGTTCAGATAGTACTTCAATAGATAGTTAACAGAACACAAGCTAATGAACTTCTATAAGCACTGACACAATGAAAGAACCTATTGTGCCATTTCAAATTCAAGTTAATAGAGCTTTAGTCCAGCAGTGCTGAGGATGGATATATATTCAGGATAGCTTGATATGGGCAATGAGAGGGATCAGCGTCATGCCTTTCAATAATAAAGCTCAGATCTACCAAAAAGCAAATCTTATAATGAGGTTGCCATAAATAAAAGCCTGGAGAAAGTCAAAGAACAGGTTATGACCGAGTCAAAGCTGATTAGAGTGTGAACGTGTTGCGAGTGTTTTTGGAGGGACACACTGTCAGGCCACATTGATTTTATTTTTTTTTATTTTTTTTTCTCACCACTGCAGTGATTTTTAAGTCACCTGGTGAACTTTGATACCATAATCCACACCTGCCTTCTCAGAAATGTTTACCAACACGTTTCTGTCTCCTTGTGAGAGAGACTAAAACTCGAACAGAACACAGTAGTTTTATAAGAGTTGCAACAGGCTAGTTTCCAGAATGAAAATGACACGCAAACTTCCTGCCCACGGTCAGATGACATCACATTTACAGCAGACCTGTACTGTACAAGGCCAGGGGCTAAAGCACAACAAAGCAGCGTGCGCAATGCCAAAATTTCAACATTAATATTTCCCAGTCTGTTGCTTCGTACAAAAACACCGACTGGGTGATTTGCTGATACTAAATAATCTGACTATAAACTTTACTTGTAATCTGTGGTAACTGGTGGTCAATATGAATAACAGACAATGCTACTGACATACCGCGCATGCGCAACACTGTAGCACCTGATAAACGAAACTAATGACTCCGTCAAGGTATTTCAACTTCAAAAAATCTCAGGCACGCTGTTCCAAAATTTACCCTCTGACTTCCTGACGCTCCCAGAAACAAAGCGAACTAGAATATTATATTTCTTTTAAACGAAGACGGAAGTGGGCAGAGACCTCACTTCCCGTCTGGCTACTTTCTGGTGGACGGGAGGACCGTGTAAGTGTGCGACATGAACGGGGCTACTTGCCTTGGACATCAGGGTACGGGTACGGCGGCGGGGCCGGCTGGGGGATGGCCCCATAGCCGTGCGGCTGCTGCTGCGGGCCGCACTCATAAGCCCCGGGGACGGCGTTGTAGGCGGGAGGTCTGTCCTGAAGAAGGGGTTTGCTGTCCACCATCTCACCCGTCGTAATGTGTCCTCAAGTTGTCTCGCTCTCTGCCCTTAACTTAACGCTACCCCAGCCACAGAAAGGGTCAAAAACTGAACTTCAGCTATTTTGTTTCCGCTGCCCGGAAAGCCGTGCGACGTTGGTTGGCACGTAGTGCTGACAAAAACAAAGAAAAGACGCTGCGCAAAAATGAAACTTCGTCCCTCTCCATGCGCCAACTTTGACTCCGTCGGCGCAACAACCCCAAATATTTACCAAATGTCCAGTTTGAAAACAGGAATGGATTGAGTAAGTCTGGTAATGGTTAACTTAACTCCATTTCCCCACTTGCAGTTGGCCCATTGGTACCAAAACAACAGTAATCTGTCATCGCAGCACCTTGTAACTCAGCTGGAAGTCAGAGAGGCTTTTCCTTTCTGTCCGGATTGTCACAAGAGAAAAATCATGTGATGAGCTGCTGTAGCGCCTCTGCGCAGTGAAAGGCTTCTTAAAGCGACAGCTCGTGAAAATAAAAGGCTGTGGTGCAGCTGCTGCATGCAGCTAGTGCACTGCAGAGTCTTTATCTCAAAAGCGTGTGATCGCTACGCCTACACACGATGCATACATTGACAATATTTACATACAGTTTGTTAGGTAATTGGTTTACAGCGCCAGGGTTTGAGTGGACCCCACGTGGGGAGGTCAACCTGTTCACACTGTGACTTACATAATTGCTGTCCTCATTATGAGTGGGCTATCCTTAATGTTGCATAATTGCTCAGATTTAATCAGAGGATAGTTTGGGGGAGGACAAAAGTGAGTTAAAAATAAAAAATATTGTGATTTTCACTCTAGTAATGGGATCCAGTTATAATGAGTATCAAAACTTTAAAGACAAACTACTGAAATAATATCACAGCCTAACGTTTTATTTATTTATGAGGGGATGTTTGTGCATTTTAAGGGTGATGTGTAGTCGCTTTTTTTCTCTTGTGTTACAGCGACTTTATCTACAGGACCTGGAGTAAAAATATTAATGCAGATTTCTTTCCTGTCCCATTAATCATCTCGTGACTCCTCTGACTTATATGTGACCCTTTGCAGGGGGCCTGACCCCAAGTTTGGACAACCACTGGACTACGGTGCCTAACTTTACATACAGTAGTTAAGCATAACATAAAATTATACTTACACGGTGACGCCTCACTATTAACATTATCTGACGATGTCATATATAATAATATATCACAGTGAGTACTATTGATACTTTAAGTATGTTTTATTGATAAAACTACTTTTTGTAACATTTTGAATGCAGGACTCCACCTGCTGGTCAGCTGGTCTACAGCGTCCCCCTGCAGCTCAGGTGGGTCATAATAACATTGTGTACTAAAGTGTGTCACCACCAGTGGTGGAACAAGTACTAAGGGTTTTTATTTTATTTTATTTAGCATCAAATTATACTTAAACTACCAAAAGTAAAAACTCATTATGCAGAATGGCCATTGTAGAATACTGTATGTTATAATTGGTGCTTTAATGTGTTTATTTATTTAATGTTAAAATAGGGATAATTTTAAATAGAATATATACTGCTAGGTAGCTTGTGAATTTACCCCCAGGGATCAATAAACTTTTAACGTAATATTTTGTACTATCTATTAGAGCTGATGTCAACTATTAAATAAATCGCCAACTATTTTGATAATCAATTAATCGCTATGAGTCCTTTTTTAAAGAAAAAACGTCCATATTCTCTGATTTCAGCTTCTCAAATGTGAATATTTTTATATTTTCTTCACACCCCTCTCGATACTTGGGTTGTGGACAAAAGAAGACATTTGGTGATATGGGCGTTGGGAAACACGATCAACATTTTTCACAGTTTTCTGGACATAACCAGATTAATCGATAATGAAAATCGTAGCTAGTTGCTGCCCTACTATCCATCTTATTCTGCAAAGTTACTCCTTACAAAAGTTATCAAATACATGTAGTGGAGTAAAAAGTACAGTATTTCTTGCTGAATTGTAGCGGAGTCGAGTATCAGAATATAAAAATGCTAAGTACAAGTACCTCAAAATTGTACAGTGTGCAGTGTATGAGTAAATGTACTCAGTTACTGTCCACCAGGCACCACTGTGTCCAAGGTGCTGAACCTGGGACTCCCCGGGTGAGGATATCTGACCGAGGTGCTGCGCATGCAAGGCAGCATCGTGGCGTTTGCTTTATCAAATATCATATGTTAGTAAGCATTAGGAAGTTAGATTTAAACTTTCTGCGCACCACTCTGACATTAATTTATCCCTGTTGTCAGGCTGTACGTTCTTGCTCTTGTCCGTGCAGGACACAGATCAATCACATCGGCTTAGACTTTTTCCCCCCTCTGTATTAAATATACTGTAGCCAAACCAGTAAAACCACCCTTGCGTTTCAATAATTAATTTGGCGCTGAATAAATTATTGAAATATGCGCATCAATCAGCAGCGGTCGTCAGAAATAAACACCTGGGGCTCCTGTGTGTCCACCAATAGGAGGGAGAGATCCCACACTCCTGCAGCGTTTCAACCAATCAGAGCGACACTTCCGCCATTTCCTGTTGTGGACTCCTGAGTTGGACAGAGCTTCCCTCTGGTCTTGAATGTGAATTAAAAAACACTCCCGGGATGTGCACGAATGCCTTTACTTCTTTTCCGCTGTGAAGGTGTTGCCCATGACAGAGCCTCATATGTAAGTAACTGCAGTGTGTGTGCCTCTGAGGGTTGGCTGGCCGCTGCCTGCATCCTGGACATGTAAACAGCTTATAACCGACTTTGCGGCATAACGTTACGACTCGATATCAGCTCTCTGTGTTATTAGCGCTGCGCGGCACGCTGTCACTCCAACTGTGCTGATATTTAACGTGGGCTTTGAATGTCTCCTAGCAGCATGGGCCTCGCAGACGGCAGGTATCGGCTGTTGCACTTGATGCCATGACACGTCTGTTGCTACTCCCTTGACAACCGCGGATCGGATACCAATATTCAGGTAGGCTGCTGTTTGAGCCCTCACAGTTTTTCATCCTTGATTTACTTTCACACCAGTAGGTTTAATGTCGGATACATTAACTTTATTGTATGAAATTGCACTCTTAAAAAACATTGTAATTTGATAGGCTAAATGCCTCCAGTTTCTTTTCTCTGTCTTTCCGTCTATTTGAATTTGAGACTAAAGTTCAAGCAGCTGCGTTTTTTTTATCACATAACTGTACATTGGTTTTAAATAAACCGAATAAATGCCTGTTTGAATGTACAGCTGTAGCCGAAGCACAGTGACTGTCAATACTGTAGCGGATTAGTATCAGTCGATAAGGCAAACGTCAAGCTAAGCACCTGGAATAAAAAAGACTTCCGGTCGGAAATTTCAAATTAAAACCAAAATGTCACGTTTCACTGGTCACTTTGAGGAAGAAAAAACATCTAAAATGAATCTTGTCATTTTGAGGAAAAAGTAAGAATCTCAGAGGGGGGGAAAGCACAGTGTATAGTTTAAGAATAATCTTAGAAACCTTAGAATAAAGCCAGAGTTCAAGACTGACGTCAAAACTTTGAGAGTCAAGTTGTACTAAAAAACTGAAATCTGCTCTGAGAATAAAATAAAAATCAGAAATGCAGATTTTAAGCTATGAATTCTGATGACATGATACAACCCATCACATTTATTTCTCTTATGGCCCTATTCCTCTTTCCCATTAAGATAAGATAAAACAAGCCTTAATTGATCCGCATCAGGTGATACAGCAGCAAAAAACAGAAAGTTTAAATAAATGGAGTAAGTAAAACCTAAATAATAATAAGTATTTAAAATAAGAATAGAAATAAAAAAATGTAAACTATATAAGAGCGTTGAAACTCAAAATTACAAGGCGACATAGTGTTGTGATTAGTAGCAGCAAAGTCAGCAAAGTAGAGTGTATGTAAGAGTAATATGATACCATCTACTGTAACAGCATACACCAGAAAAATACAATGTATGATTAAGTAATGATACTTAGTGTTTGTCTGTATTGATATAGAAATATAATAAAACTGAATAACATATTACCAGAATATAGAATAATATATATGGGATATAAAATAATAGGTGAAATGTAGTAATATAGTTAAACATGTTATAAAGTATGGTACAGAAATATAACAGAATATAAAATATAGTATATTATGAGTGCATAGGTCATGGATGAATCTAAACGCAAATGTAGCTTTTACTCATTGCTGTATCTCTTCAGTATATCGATAATAAAGCTGAAGTACACCGAGTCATAAAGATCATCTTGCATTCTCCGCTCAGGGGCCATCATGCCCATCACGTTGCTGTGGGCCGTGGATGTGTATGGCAGGGTGTACAGCCTTTCCACAGCTGGCCAGCGCTGGGAGCGCGCAGACGACCTGCTGCTCGAGCTGAAGCGCGTCAGTGCCGGGAAGGGCCACTGCTGGGGCATCGGCTGCGACCACCATGTTTACCTCAACATAATACCGAGCGAGACCCCCATCCGCTACCGAGAGGAGACCTATGAAAACCAGGTCAGCCCAAGCTGTTTGTTTGTTGTCAACAACAATGTAGATGCCGTAATGCTGAAGTGCGGTTGCTCTGTTTGTGTATGTTTCCAGAGGTGGAACCCAGTGGACAACTTCACTGACACACTGCTGCCCACTGACCGCTGGCCGTGGAGCGACGTGACCGGGATGAATCCTCAACCGCTGCACAGCTTTGAGCTGCCCTCCCGCAGCTGGGAGTGGGAGGGAGACTGGTATGTGGATCAGAGCTGTGGAGGAGTACCCAGCCAGACTGGGGTAAGAAACAACACATGAAGACACAGTACTTTTTATTTATTTCTATGCTTTTTTTCTTGCTAGATATCTCTCTAGATTTGACTAATGGGATATAAAATATCTTATCATACTCTAGTGAGACTGTGTTTGTGTCTCTCCTCAGGGTTGGGAGTACGCAGTCGATTTCCCAGCCAACTTCTCTCCGGACAAGAAGTGGAACTCTTGTGTTCGTCGCAGGCGGTGGATCCGCTACAGGAGATACATAGCACAAGGCTCCTGGGCGAAGGTTTGGACTCTGTCTGGTTATACCATATATCTGTGTAGACAAGTTGAGGACTGGTCTGACTTAAGATTCAAGTCAATGTTGCTGTGCCTCTGCAGATCCCCCTGGACAATCCCAGGAAGCCGCCCCTGCCGCTCTGCGACATAAGCTGTGGTGGTTGGGAGATGAGTGACCAGTCTGGAAGGTATCCCTACCTCTGGGGGGTGTCCCAACAAGGACAGGTCAGTCTGCTAGATCAACGCTCTCAGGTTTTAGAGCATGTGAAGTACACCTAGCTTTCTCCATATTTAATTTTTTTAGACTTGAATGATTACATGCAACCCTGAGGTTTATTAAAAATCTATACTGGAAGTCAAAAAAAGTTA